GAGTTAAATGAGAAAAAGGTGATTTTAGGAAAATTGGATTGATGAAGTTTGGTCACTTTGGATACGATAGCAGTTTTCCGGCGCGATTAATAAAGCATGATGTTGCTTATATTTGCTATTTCTTTTTAAGTATATTTTTTATTATTTTGGAGAAGAAGGGAGAGGGAGAGAGAGATAGAAACATCAATAAGAGAGAATCATTGATTGGATGCCTCCTGCATGCCCCCACTTTTTATCAGCTACCCGTCAACTTTGTTTTTCTCCATCCACCTGGGGTGGATCTGCATCACAGGGATGTGCCCTGATTGGGAATTAAATCCTGTCCTCTTGTTCATAGGTCAGTGCTCAACCACTAGGTCACTGCAGGGCTTCTTTCTTTCATTCTTTTTGTTTTCCCCCCAAAATATGTTTTTATTGATTTTAGAGAGAGGAAGGGAGGATTGAGAGATAGAAACATCTCTGAGAGAGAACCATCGGTTGGTTGCCTTCTGCATGCCCCCTGCTAGGGATTGAGCCTGAAAACTGGGCATGTGCCTTGATTGGAATTGAACTGGTGACCTCTTGCTTTGTGGTTGATGCTCAACCACTGCACCACACCAGCCAGGCCTGTATTTGCTATTTCTAATAAGCACTGAAAAATTCATTTTTAGAATCTTTATTTTACTTCTTTAAAATAATGTGTTTGATTAGCATAAACTGGGTTTTTAGCTACTTAAGTGTTTTAAATTGAGCATTTGTTTGGTCTACCTTTTTGGCAGGTGATGATTTTAGCCTCTTACTGTCACTAGCTTAATTTAACTGTGGGTAGTAGAATTAGGTTTTCAACTTATATATGCTATCATTAACATTTGTTAAGAATAAATTGAAACAAATTTATAAGGTAGAAAATGAAATTATCTCATTTCTGCATGTAGGCATATTACACATAATTTAAAAAAATATAAGACTGTATTGTGAAAAATGTATAGAGACACTCTAGCCTCTATACAGAAAGGTTATGATTATAATCAGGTGCCTGGTACCATAGTTCAGTGAATTTAGATAAATCTTTTCTTTTGCTCTAATTTTCTTCACCTGTTTAAGTGGAGAGAGTTAATAGAATTGTTAGGAACAATTAGGAATAATGTAAAGTGCTTCATACACAACTTGGAATAGTTTTAATAAATAGTAGCTTTTATCATATTATATTCAACAGCCTTTTACCTGACATTGTAGGCATCTATTCGTGCAACCTACACGTAATAACTACCTTATTCTTAAAAAACAAAAACAAAAAACAAAAACTTGATTGTATCAATAGAATTTATTGGGGTGACATTGGTTAATAAAATTATGTGGGTTTCAGGTGTACAATTTATAATACATCATCTGTACACTTACTGTGTGTTCACCACCCCAAGTCCAATCATCACCATTTAGTCCCCAGTACGTTTTTAATTTTTATCAGCTACCCGTCAACTTTGTTTTTCTCCATTCCGCAGAAAATGGTTGTCTTAATTTGTTTTCCTGATATGCAGTGAAATTGTGTGTGTGTGTGTGTGTGTGTGTGTGTGTATTTATACTATTACTATTTTGGCAAAGGTGGCATGTATTTTCCTCACTTATCATTTGCTTTATCTTTGTTTATGATGTATTGTTGCTATATAAAAGTTGAGAATATTTTCATTTAGGCAGATCTGTTTTGTTTATAGCTTTTGGGATTTGTGTTTTGTTAAATGTGGTTCTGGAAATTGTGTTCATTTCCTTTAACATTTTGAAATAGCTATAATTTTTTAAATGTTTTGAAATATATTATGGCATCTGGAATTTAAATTTTACTATATATACCAAAACCATTTGAGTATTTTAAACATTCTTTACTGACTTGGAATAGGAATAATTATCAGTAATAATATATCCAAAGATTGATCATATAATACTTTGTTTGAATGTATGGCTACTAAACTGCAGTTCACAAATCATGGGAACTTGCACTCTTTGATTTAGCTTTGTAATTCGTGTACTTGATATTTCAGAGTGTATGTATTGGTAAATTGGATGCCTAAACCTTTTTTGTTTGTTTTTTGTTAATCGTCACTTGAGATTTTTCTCATTGATTTTTTTTTTTAGATATAGTGGAAGGGTGGGAGGGAGGGAGAGAGAAACGGATGTGAGAGATACATTGAGTGATTGATTGCCTTTGGCACATGCCCTAACCAGGGCTGCAATCTAGGTTTGTGACCTTGACCAGGAATCAACCCACCAACCCCTGGTGCACAGGCTGAAGGTCTTACCTCTGAGTGTGCTGGCCAGGAATGGATGCCTAAACTTTCCTTTCTGGCAGTTGGAGGCCATGTTCATTAAATGCTGAATGCCATTGCCAAAGCCTCTCTGTGGGTAAGAAAGGTGGGGCTTTAGTTCTTGTTCTCTTCCTCCTTGGCAGAGTCTTGATGATTTCTTCCTTGGCTACGTAGCACTTGTTGCTTCCCTGGTCTTACACCTGTGGGCCTCGGCCTGCTTCTCGGGAGTCTTGTCTGCTTTCAGCTGGTGGATGTGTTCCCTGAGAATCTGCGTGTTTTTGAACACATTACCCTTCACTTTCAGTTCAGGCAGTGGTACATGTGGCTGCCAATCTTCTTAGATTCCTGGTGTCTTCTAAGTAGCTGGCAAAGAATTCTCATCTTCCTCATCTAAGTTACTTTGTCAGGCATTTGACAGCAAGCAGCATGGGCAGTACCCTTTCACTTACCTGTGCCCATATGCCTGCCCATACTGTGGGCCACGGTGTTTTTCTGGCATTGAGCCTGGGAATGGACAATGACAAGCTTTTGGTTGATTGGCCCATCTTTGACCGGCTTCCACATGTGCTGACTGGAGTTGGCATTGGCGATTTCATTGGTCTCATTGGGGTCCAGTCTTCTGTTTGCCACAGCACAGACCCTCACCCCCTACTGTCTGTGTCCATTGGTTATGCTTATATGCAGATGGAACTGTCTTTGAGCATTGCGTTAAAAAAATGTTCTGTTTGGAAAACTCTTTAATGTCACGTGTCATAGTTTTAATATTCCTAGCTTGCCATCTAACTTAGAGAAGAGATATAATAAATTCTATTGTAAATCTATAGAGCTAAAATTTACCAAAAATAATATAATTAGTGGCAGAAGTGAAACCAGAGACAAATAGGCCTGTTTTTTTCTCTTGTATCAGATTGTCGCGCAGTTGAGAGTAGACTTATAGACAGTTTTGAATGCCATTACCAGAAGTCATGGAAGTTGATGAAAATATGCAATCAAGACATTATGAACGCACCTAAACTTAGGTTAAATTATATATTGTAATCATAGGAGGTACTACATAAATTTGAAAAGTAGAACATTAAGGTAAGATATTTAGTCTTCAGTAGTGCTTGGTGCTCATGTAGGTCCCTAGCTCTGAATTAGCATCACAGCCTTGTAAAAATTGTGCAATTTAGATAAATGGAGTAGGAGGAGGAAGTGATCAGACAGAAATTAACTGCTGCAAGAGATAATAAATCTGATATTTACTTAGTAAATGTTATTGTTAAATCTGTAAAAATTGAGTCGGTTTCTGAGTTGATCTGGACACATTGATTAGATGATGCACAGCCCACTGCCTAATTAGAAACAAGCTGTATGGGCTTCCTGGCATTCTTAGGCCTGTGTTGATTTTCAGAAGACAAAATACAAAACAGTGTAGTGGTCACAGTATAAACCAGAACCCAGTGGATAGGTAGTAAACGTATTATGGGACTTACCTACCTCGGGTTCTTGGATTAGGTCTGTTACTGCTTAAGTAGATTATTGCACTTTAAAACGAAGTGCATATTTAGAACTTAAAATAGGAATGCGTGCATTTGTGTGTGTGTGTGTGTGTGTAAAACAAATACTTTGTTAAAGAATAGAGTTTGAAAGAAATAAATGATCCAGATGTTTGGTTCTTCCCTTAGTCCCCACCTGATTTTGTACAATTTAAAGCACGCTATATCAAAATTCTTTTAGTTGTAAAAATCTGCATTTCTTTTAAAATGGAAAAACTGTTAGACTAGCATGTTGAGGTGTATATCTCTTACTAAAGTTCTGTAACAAGCTTAGTGTGAATATAGTCCCCCTCCCAAGTTGTTTGTTATATGCCCTCTTCATTTATGAGTTTTATTCATTGTGAGGCAGATACTAAGTTGCATTTGGGGAGTCTCCTATATTGTTAAGTAGTGTTTGTGTAATATGTTTGGTATTGTTTCAGAAATAACAGATTTTGGCTCTTTTAAAAAAATCCCCATCAAGGACATGCTGAGGGAGGGAACGATGGAGGGAGACATCTATCTGTTGCCTTCTGCACACATCTACCTGGGAATCAAAACTGAAACCCAGGGGTGTGCTCTGATCAGAATTCCAACCTGCAACCCTTTGGTGCACAGGATAATGCTCAACTGAGTCACTCTGGCTGGGCAGGGCTTCTTTTTAAGGAGTAAAATTTCTCAGTTTTCTGTTATTGTAGATCGCATTTTTTTTTTTAGCAATATATTTGATCTGCATTCTTACAGTTTTAGATATTTAGGTAGTAACAAACTGAAACTCTTGGAGTGGGAGGAGAAATAATGTTTTCATTTGCTCACTTTTGTTGTAAGGCAAGTAAAAGGTCTTTTAAAAGTGAAAGTGTCGTGGGCTTTGGGGTATTGCAGGGAACCAGCTATGTTTAGAAATGTGTCTTACTGACACTTTTTTCTAATCATGCCGATTTGGGTCAAGTTGTAGAAATTAAAAATGTTTTTATTGATTTCAGAGAGGAAGGGAGGGAGAGAGAAACATTAATGATGAGAGAGAATCATTGATTGGCTGCCTCCTGCACGCACCCTACTGGCGTTGAGCCCGCTACCTGGGCATGTGCCCTTGACTGGAATTGAACTTGGGATCCTTCAGTTCACAGGCTGATGCTCTATCCAAAATATCTAGGGCTCATTTTAGAAATTTTTTGACACTGATTTTATGCAATTTCATTTGTAGTCCAGTTACAACACAGGGATCACAGCAAACACAGCCGCCACAGAAGCACTATGGCATTACCTCTCCTATCAGCTTAGCAGCCCCCAAGGAGACCGACTGCCTGCTTACACAGAAACTAATTGAGACTCTGAAGCCCTATGGGGTTTTTGAAGAAGAAGAGGAACTGCAGCGCAGGTAAATATATAAAAATTTATAATTTCTTATTATCATAACCAGAGGCCTGGTGCATGAACTCATGCACGGGTGGGGACCCTTGGCCTGGCCAGTGATTGGAGTTGTCTTGCCCAGTCCCGGGGGAGGGACTGTAGGAGGTTGGCTGGCTGGCCCCGGTTGGGGCCAATTGGGGCCTGCCTGCCTGAGGGAGGGAAAGCGGGAGGTTGGCTGACCATAGGAGGTTGGCTGTGAGAGTGCACTGACCGCCAACGGCAGCTCCTGTGTTGAGCGTCTGCACCCTGGTGGTCAGTATGTGTCATAGGACCGGTCATAATAGTCCCTTAGGCTTTTATATGTATAGATAGACTAATTTTGAGGCATTCTTGATTCAGGAAGTCTGAATTATCCTTTTAAATATCTCTGTTTCAGACAAGGGTGATATTTAGAAAAATACTTTTACATAGAGCTCCATTTCCTTAATTTTGACTTTTTTGAGGTTTTTGGTTGTTATAGTACATGATTGTCAAGAGAAAGAGGAATGCCTACATGTTATTAACTACTATATACCTAACTTTCTGATAACTTTTAAACTTAGAAAGCCACCTTTTGAAAACTGTTGTAGTTTAATAAGTAACTAGAGGCCTAGTTCACAAAATTCATGCACAGATAGGGTCCCTAGGCCTGGCTAGCGATCAGGGCTGATTGGGACCTGCGCCCTGCTGGCCAGGGCCTTCCTTTCCCATGTCACGCCCCGGTGTCATCTTGTGTCATAGTGAGCAAGTGATCAAACCCTGGTCTCCTGGTTGAACTCTTGAGAGGGGACACTTTGCATATTAGCGTTTTATATAGAGGTAATTTAGAATAGCAAACAACTTGCTGATTGATATTTGTTCTATCAACAGGATTTTAATTTTGGGAAAATTAAATAACCTGGTAAAAGAGTGGATACGAGAAATCAGTGAAAGCAAGGTATGTATTGAATACTTACTTGTATATGAAATAATTTGCCAACAGAACATAGCTGTTCTTTTTAAAGTAGATTTAGCGTTAATAACATAGTTTATATTTTGTTCTAGTTATTTTGAAAGCAGGAAAAAGTAATTTCTAAACATTATTTTTTATAAGCATTTTTTGGTTGCAACACTCAAAGTTAAAACTAACATACTTTACTGAAGTAGTAGATATATCCCTGGAAAAGTGCTTTAAAAATGTATATTAAATATTTGAGTATTGTTACCTTTTAAGGAATCCTATGACAATGGGCATTTTTTAGGTTTTCAGGTATTAGACTCTCAAAATGAATATTTAGTTTTTTAAAATAACATTCCCTGAGTTCATAATCCTTAATTATGAAAAATCATACACATTGAGGAATCCGTGACTGTGCTTCTGGTAAAGGAAATGTATTCTTAGAATAATGTGTGGAATCCATTTGACCCATTTAAGAAAAGATGGTGTTTTTTATTGTTTTGTTTTTACAGGAAAGATGATTTGTAATGCTTTTCTTTCTCCTATTTCTGGTGCTTCTATTCAAAAAAACTATCAGTAAGTTTAGTTCTGCTCAGAATCATTCACCAAAGTCAAGGAAATCAAAAACAGTAAACTATTGTGGAGCAGTATTTGCCTCAACATCAGTCACTTTGATCTGATAAATTATATTTTAATGCACTATGGAATATTTGGTATAATCATTGAATATAAGCAATGCTTCATGCAGTATCTTTGTCATGAATAAAAACTGATTCATTGCTCCTGCATAATTACATGATCTTCTTTACCACAGTCTTTAAAGCAGTTTCCAGAAATGTGGCAAGATTCTAAAATAATAAGGATCTTCACAAAAGAACACTCATGAAAAGTTGAAAGTTACTTGCATTTCAGATTAGATTGATTTAATGCCTGGTGGTATTTTGTAGAGCTTATAAGCTTTTTTATCTTCTATATAACTTTGCACTGAATCTTACTTTTTAATATGCAGTGTTATTTGAAATAATTTTCTTTGTGTTCTGGGAGAATGACTATTTGTTGTTTGTTTGAACAGAATCTTCCACAATCTGTAATTGAAAATGTTGGAGGAAAAATTTTTACATTTGGATCTTACAGATTAGGAGTACACACAAAAGGTAAATATTGTTTTAATTATTTTGAGAAGGAATACCTTTTTTAGTCCTTAAAAAAAATTATAACGAGGTATCCATCTTAGTTGTGTATCATTATAGCTTACATTTGCATTAAAGAGAACACTTCAAGGAGCCTACATTTAGTAAAGAGAAAAAAACAAAATATTTATGCTACACCTGCACTGTTCAGTGCAGTATTAACGAAAATTTAAAATTAGGTTCCTCAGTAGAAGTAGCCACATTTTAAGTGTTGAATATCCACGTATGGCTAGTGGCTATCATATTGGAAAATGCAGACATAGAACATTTTCTTCCCTGGAGGGTTCTTTTGAACAGTGCTGCTCTCTATGCCATTTCTTCTGCCTGAAGAATATCAGTCTGGAAATCAGAACAAAAATGAATTAGTGTTTTAAAAATCCTATGGGCTTCCTTTTCCCCATGCTTTTATTATAGTTGTAAAATACAGATAAGCAAAACAAACAAACAGTTTATCTGTAGCCATTGACAATCAATATTTTCTTATTGATACTTTTTCCCTCTGCATATAAATCTGTACATATATATATTAGGGGCCCAGTGCACGAATTTGTACTCCTTGAAAAGAACTGTGGGCTGCGAGGCTGCGGTGGGCATGGGAGAGTCTCAGCCCAGTTGATCAGTTTGGTCTTTTGCATATTAGGGTTTTGTGTATATATAGATAATAGAGAAATATGCTAATTAACTGGGACACTGTAATATGTCACTGGACAGGAGGAGGTTGTGTGTGCAGTGTTGGGGGCATGGCAGCAGGGGCCTCCATGCAACTGTGCTGGGGGAGGGCCTGATCAGTAGCAGCCGTGGCTGCTTCAAGGACTGGAGAATGAGGCAGGGCTGGACTGGCGTCTCGAGGGTGGGCAGTGTCACGTGATTTTTGAATTACGCACTGGGCTCCTAGTATACAATAAAAATGTTGTCATGGTAGAGAACATAGAGCCTTTTCTTTTTACTGAGCATGACACAAATACGTTTTTGGTCTTTTTTATTTCTCGGTACTCTTTTTCTTTAAAGCTGTTTAAAGACAAATTTTTGTTTATATATTTTTATTGATTTCAGAGGAAGGTAGAAGGAGAGAGCGATCGAAACCTCAGTGATGAGGGAATCATTGATTGGCTACCTTCTGCACACCCCCTACTGGCAATAGAGCTGCAACCGCGGCATGTGCCCTTGACTGGAATTGAACCCAGGACCTTTCAGCCTGCAGGCCAGTGCTCTATCCACTGAGCCACACCAGCTAGGGCTATTCCTCAGTGCTCTCATTCTCATGTAATATATAAAAATGAAAAGATTAGGACCATCTAGGGCACATGTGTCAAACACAAGGCCCGCGGGCCAAATCCGTCCCGCCAGGCCTTGCAATGTGGCCCGCACCGCGCTGTCATCACTGCACTCCGCTGCGTTTCCATCACAATGACAGTTTATGATTGTTCAGTAAACCATTCGGCCCGCGATTTAGGCTGGATTTTAGATTTTGGCCCCTTCTCTGATTGAGTTCGACACCCCTAGTCTAGGGCTATTCCTCAGTACTCTTATTCTCATGTAATATGTAAAATATATGAGAGTCTGGGACTCAATAAAGCTTGAATAACTTCATCTAGCCATCTTAGCAGAACTTGGATTCTTCTTGGGAATTCAGTGGCTGTACTTTTCAACCATTAACCACTGGCCTCTATGTTAAAAGTTACCTGCCAATATACACTGAGTGGTCAGATTATTATGATCTCTGAGCGCAAAATAATTTGGCACTCAGAGAGAGTGTGTGTGTGTGTGTGTGTGTGTGTGTGTGTGTTAGTGTTAGAGCCCTGGTGGATGAATTTGTGCATGGGTAGGGTCCGGCCAGCCTGGCCAGGGGGAGGGGACATGGGCAGTTGGCTGGCCTACTTGCTGGTCAAACTCCTGATCCAGGGGACAATTTGCATATTAGCCTTTTATTATATAGGATATACACTGAGTGGCCAGATTATTGTGCATTCAGAGATCATAATAATCTGGCCACTTAGTGTATATGTGTTCTTTTTGTTCCAGTATCCTTCCTTCTTCCCATCTCCCACTATTTTGTGCCAGTAGTGTGCTACTAGTATGTGTTCTTCTATCATGAATATGGTAAATAACAGCCTTCATGGTAGTTGAGTCTTGTAGGAAAAAATCTATGTTAACCTGATTACACATTTATCTCTCCCTTTTATGATCTCAGTTACTGATTGTTCTTCCTGTGTACTCAGTGCTGACCTGCTATCAAACATTAAATTAATAACAAATATTTTACCATTCATTGTCTGCCTCATTGGATTTTTGCCAGTGGTCCTTCTTGATGGTTATCCTATTTATCCCATTTAGGGGACAGGTAGGAGCCTATAAGAACTAGTTACATTATGTAAAGAAGAAAACTTTCTTTGTTTCACTAATGGGCATGTGTATGACTAATGACATCAAGATGTTGGGTCTATTCTTGAATAATTCCTACTCTTCATCATAAAAGTCCTATCTTAGTACCTTTCTTTGTCTCCCAGCTCACCCGGGCCACTGCAACTAGAGATGCTACAGGAAAAAACATACCGTATCCCATTAATTAGAATCCTTTATTCCTATATCGACTTGTAATTTTTTTTTAAAGGGGAGTGGTACATTTTTAGAGATTGACCAATATAATGTTAACAGCTTTTCGACATCAAATACTGCCATAGTAAGACTCAAAGTAATTTTTTTAATAATAGAAATTAATGGTTGATGGTCTTAATCTTTTCTAGGTGCCGATATTGATGCGTTGTGTGTTGCACCAAGGCATGTTGATCGAAGTGACTTTTTCACCTCATTCTATGATAAATTGAAATTACAGGAAGAAGTAAAAGATTTACGAGTACGTAAATGTTCGGGGTGAAATGGGAGGAGTTATAAAAATTAGTCAGTTGAGAGTTTTATGATATAGACATCATTTGTTGAACTCTTAAAATTTGCTAAACCCTTTTAACTACATAACGTGTATGCTTGCTTTTTATTTTATTTTATTTTATTTTATTTTCCAAATAATGTAATTACTTTATTTGTAATTTGAACTCAATAGCCAACCTGGACATTTTAAGTAAATGTAGTGGAGGATACATAACATGATGAAAGCAATATGGAACTAGTGTAAAAAAGAAAGCATGAGATCTCAGTCTTTCTATTTCTAATAATACATTTACTTTTTAAAGATATGTACATATATATATGCATACACACACACACACACACACATATGCGCATATATGTTTTTATTTGTTTCAGAGAGACTAAGGAAGAGGGAGAGAGACATAGAAACATCAATGAGGAGAATCCTTGATCGGCTGCCTCCTGCACGCTTGTACTGGGGATCGAGCCCGCAACCCTGGCATGTGCCCTGACCCAGAATGGAACCGTGACCTCCTGGTTCACAGGTTGACACCCAACCACTGAGCAACATCGACCGGCAATTTCTTATTTTTTAATGTTTCCCAGTTCTAGTTATTTTTCCCCCTCCATTTTGCTTTTTGATTGTTATTTTTGAAGTATTTATACTCCCTCAAAACATGCATTTTATTTTTTGCAATAAATCTGAAATCATAAATCTGGTGACAGTAGAAAATAAGACAAGAACATATCTGAGTGGCAGATGTCAAGGATTTGAACTTAAGCTTGTCTAATTGAAGATTCTAGTGTGGTAAAGCTAGTTGTGGAGAACATACTCCATCAGAAACTATTCTAAATTGTTTTCAAACAATTTCAAATAGTACATTCATTAGAAAATACTAAAATTAGTGTAGATCCAATCTATAGTTTCAGAGACATTAAACTTGTTGGATTTTCTTTCAGGCTGTTGAAGAGGCATTTGTGCCAGTTATCAAACTGTGTTTTGATGGGATAGAGGTAAGGTGGCTTTTGCTATGTGTAATTGATCAATGTAGGTTAAAAACTTGATTTATTTTAAAGTTTTATAACCGGTGAATTGGTGTGATATTAGTAGGAATTAAGGGTTTTTGTTGTTTTGTTTATCATCACCCACAGATGTTTTTTCCATTGATTTTTAGAGAGGGAGGGAAGGAGGGGAGGAAAAAGAGATGTGAGAGAGACACATCAGTTGGTTACCTCCTGAGTGTTCCCTGATTGGAGCCAGGGATTGACCCTGTGACCCTGTCTTGAGAGGGTGGACACTCTAACCATTGAACACACTGATCAGAGCTTACGCTTAATTTTTTTAAATGAAAGTGACTGCTTACCAGAATAGCATTTTTAGTCTTTTAAAAGAGTAGTGAAATTAGGAGCTAAAATATAGGCAGAAGTAATGGAATTGACAATGAAATGCTGCTACAAAATAGTTTACTTTGGTAGTTTTTCCATATACAAATTTTATAAATATTTAGTCTCATTAAGACAACACAGTGTATTATTTATTTATTTATTTATTATTTAATAAATCTTTGTTGTTCAGATTATTCAATTGTTTCTTCTTTTCCCCCCATAGTTCTCTTCCACCTGGTTCCCACTCCACTTTTTGCCCATACCTCCCTCCCCACTGTCCTCATCCATAGGTGTATGATTTTTGTTCAGTCTTCCTGCACCCCCACACCCTTTTCCCCCTGAGAATTATCAATCCCCTCCCATTCTATGCCCCTGATTCTATTATATTCACTACTTTATTCTGTTAGTCAGATTTTTAATTCACTCGATTTTTAGATTTACTGGTTGATATGTATTTGTTGTTTATAATTTTTATCTTTACTTTTTTCTTCTTCCTCTTCTTAAAGACTACCTTTCAGCATTTCATACAATACTGGTTTAGTGGCGATAAACTCCTTTATTTAGCCTTTTCTTATCTGTGAAGCTCTTTATCTGACCTTCAATTTTGAATGATAACTTTGCTGGGTAGAGTAATCTTGATTCTAGGTTCTTAGTATTCATCACTTTGAATATTTCTTGCTACTCCCGTCTGGCCTGCATAGTTTCTGTTGAGAAATCAGTTGATAATTGTATGGGTGCTCCCTTACAGGTAATTAACCATTTTTCTCTTGCTGCTTGTAAGGTTCTCTCTTTGTCTTTTGCCCTTGGCATTGATGTGTTTTGGTGTGGTCCTCTGAGGATTCCTTTTGTTTGGAGTTCTGTGCACTTCTTGGACTTGTAAGTCTATTTCTTTGAACAGGTGGGAGAAGTTTTCCATCATTATTTATTCAAATAGGTTTTCAGTATCTTGCTCTCTCCTTCTGGCACCCCCGTAATTCTGATGTTGGTGTGCTTGAAGTTGTCCCAGAGGCTTCTTACACCATCTTCAACTTTTTGGATTCTTTTTTCTTTCCCAAGTTGAGTGTTTTTTGCTTCTTTGTATTTCGAATCTTTGACTTGATTCTTGCGTTCCTCTAGTCTGCTGTTGAGTCTCTGTATAGTATTCTTTGTTTCATTCAGTGTATGCTTGCTTTCTGGTTGGTCCTTTTTCATATCCTTGATGGTCTTGCTAAATTTATTGGCCTTTTCTAGGAAATTCTTGAAAAAACTGTATCACCATGGTTTTAAACTCTATATCTAGTCGTTTGCTTTTCTTTTGTTTGTGATCTGTTTCCTTGTCTCATTTTCACTGCTTCCCTGAGTTGGTAGGGTAGCTTTGTGTGCTAGGTGTCCAATGGGTCAGCCTCCCAGTTACCTGAGGTGGACGCTCTTGGTGCACCCCTTTGTAGACTGTGTGTACAGCCTTGTTGTAGTTAAGTCTTGATTGTTGTTGGTGTCACTGGGAGGAATTGACCTCCAGGCCAATTGGCTTAGACCCGCTGTGTCTATAATGGAAGAATTGCTGTGCTGGAGACATGCTTATGGGGCAGGACTTGTTGCAGAGGGGCTTTGGTGCTCACTGAGTCTGCCTCTTGCATGCGACCTTTATACGAGTGGTTGAAATCTGGTGTCTCACACAGACCACTAGATACACTAGCTTCTGGATCTCCAGTGGGGTGCAGGTCAGCCACTGTCTGAGGCCACCCAGCAGGAGTGACAGCCAGAACTAAAGTTTTCTCCTCTTTGCTTGGGGTTTGGAGTTTTTGAAGCTGTCTGACCAGAGCTGCAGTTTGTTTGGTTAAGCTGTGATAGGGCATGCCATAAATTTTAAGTGATCCAGTATATGCATTTAGCAAACTTAGTAAATCTAGTAGATGCATTTTATAGGAAATCAAACTTAGTATGATTAAAGTGACAAATAGGTATTTATGCATGTTCTGTTTCATATTGCCATGTTTTAACATCTGATTAAAATACCTATGATAGAATTAATACTGCTTGGGCTCTTGGAGGCATTGTCATGTTGATAATTGATAAGAAGATCCTGGCTTTATGGGTTATAATTGCTTTCTTTTTTTAAAGAAACATCTAAAAATAAATAATTTGATAGATACAGAATGTTGAATTTTATTTTTGTTTTAGATTGATATTTTATTTGCAAGATTAGCACTGCAGACTATTCCAGAAGACTTGGATTTACGAGATGACAGTCTGCTTAAAAATCTAGATATAAGATGCATAAGAAGTCTTAACGGTATGTGAAAATCTACTTTTTTTTTTTTTTTTTGCATAGTAGCAGTTTTTGTCAAAATGAAATAGTTTAAACTCAGGTTGAATAATGAAGCCTTTTGTAGGCATATTGTTTATCCATAGTTATTCAAATTGAATGTACCTTATTTATCAGACTGTAGAGGGTATTTAGTAATTAATTTTATTGATTTTTAAACACTTTTTATTCATTTTTAACATGTTTTTTTTTTTAATCTCTTGGGATATTAAAAGACTGTCTGACATTGGCACTCTATTGCTAATGATTTGGTTTTACAATGTAATTAATTTTGATGCCCATGTCCTTTGTAATGTTTTCAATTGTATTTAAAAGATTGCCTTTGAACACTTTGGTATTAGCACTGCTTGTTACCATGCTCTTAAAGAACAATTCTTTGCGATTTAAGTGGCTCAGTCCTTCCTCAGTATTTCTGGACTAGAAGCTTTCATTATGAGTTGAAAGTTTGAGATGAAGCACGTTACAGTTCAGATTCTTTGGTTGAGGGTACCGCTTTTAATGGGAGATGAAGGTTTTAAGAGTTTTTTAGTTGCCTCTTTATTTAACATTACTGATTCTACCAATAAAGTTTTTAAGTTTGACATTAATCTCAGAAATTTAAAAGAAATATTATCATTACATTTTTGATGATTTAATGTTTTGTTTTTCACCCCTGTTAATCAGGTTGCAGGGTAACCGATGAAATTTTACACCTAGTACCAAACATTGACAACTTCAGGTTAACTCTGAGAGCTATCAAACTGTGGGCCAAACGTGAGTTCAGAATTTGTTGGCTACCTTATTAAAACTGTTTAAGCTTTTGTTCAACACTAACTTTTCTTTTTGCTTTTCCCTTATCAACAGGCCACAACATCTATTCCAATATATTAGGTTTCCTCGGTGGTGTTTCCTGGGCTATGCTAGTAGCAAGAACTTGCCAGCTTTACCCAAATGCAATAGCATCAACTCTTGTACATAAATTTTTCTTGGTATTTTCTAAATGGTATGTGTTTAGATTATATTAAAATAAAATTGATTATAGACACTGAAGTTCAGTCTTATTTCTATGACATTTCTGCAGCTGATTTCAGATTCAAATTTTAGATCATGTTGTAGCTCTTTAGGTAGTCTTGGGGGTAGGTCATGTTGTATATAAAACGCAAACTTAATTCCATTCCTTTTCCCTAGCCTTTTAAAGATAGGAAGGCAGTTGCTATTTGAACCTCCTGCATGACCTTACTCTCTAAATAAACTCTTGAATTTTAGTTGTAATGTCTGTAACTTAGTGACTTGATAGGCTGGGATATCAGCTACTTTGGTAAACTTATATATACCACCTTTTACTTTCTGAATTATTCTAAACCTGTAGTTCCTTAGTCCCTTAGTTTCTTGATTGTTTTTGCTTTCATCTGCCCATTAAGATGCAAACTATATAAAAAGCTTTTTTAAAAGAAATATTTTTATTGATTTTACAGAGGAAGGGAGATGGAGACAGATAGAAACATCAATGATGAGAGAGAATCATTGATTGGTGCCTCCTGCACTCCCACCACTGAAGATTTAGCCCACAACCTGGGAATGGAACCATGACCTTCGGGGTCATGGGGTGACACTCAACCACTGAGCCACCCCGGCCGGGCTATATAAAAAGCTTTTAAGAATAACTAACTGCTTGAAAAAAGGCAATTAATTGACCACTCTGAGATTATTCATTAACCCTGCACAGATTTTTCTTTAACTTTTATTTTAGGAAGTTCACTATTTATTTATTTATTTATTTATTTTGTTAATCCTCACCAGAAGATACTTTTCTGGTGATTATTAGGGAGAATGGAAGAGAGAGGGAAAGACAGAGAAACATTGATGTGAGAAAAGCACATCGTTTGGTTGCCTCCTGCATACACCCTGACCAGGGCCTGGGCCGGGGATGAGCCTGTAACCAAGGGTACGTACATGTGACCTTGCCCAGAATCGAACCTGGGACCCTTTGCTCCACAGGCCTGACACTATCCACTGACCCAAACCAGCTAGGTCCACTTATTTTTATTTATTTATTTATTTATTTATTTATTTATTTATTTTTAAAGAATAATAAGATAAAAGGTTATTTGCATTTTTTTTTTTTTTTGTTTGTTTTAAAATGTATTTTATTGATTTTTTTACAGAGAGGAAGGGAGAGAGATAGAGAGCTAGAAACGTCGATGAGAGAGAAACATCAACCAGCTGCCTCTTGCACACCCACTACCGGGCATGTGCCCGCAACCAATGTACATGCCCTTGTCCGGAATTGAACCTGGGACCTTTCAGTCCACAGACCGACGCTCTACCACTGAGCCAAACCGGCTTCGGCTGCATTTTGTATTAGTTACTTTGGCTGGCCCAAAAGCTCAGGGTTTTTGGTTTTAATCAAATTTTAGAGAATTATCTTTCCTCTATGCCTGCCCACTCCTATACCTCTTCCCTCTGGAACAAAAAGAGTCTTTTCTATTTATTTTATAAAAATCAGAGGTTTATTTTGATACAGTTAATAATGTAAAGCATGTGCCACACTTTTAAAAACACATTCTGTTCTTTATGGTTTTGATACTACTTTATAATGTATAATCAGGTTTGATGAGAATAACTAAAGATTGTCAGAATTTTTCTTAATGCTACACATCCTTAACAAATATGTTAAAGATGTTAACCTTGACATGAAGAATGGAAAATGTTTTCCAGTTTTTAATCTCTTCCATAAAGGACTGAAGTGGCTAACTCAGAGCGTGCATCTTGAGAATAATGTGTTCACGTCACAAGTTTTTATTACACATACTCATAACCTTTAGTTATGCGGCAGAGAAAAATGTCATAATCAATTTTTACAATTATTTATGCTTTGCCTATAATGAGTTAACTTTTCCATTCTCAGTTGTCTTTGGAATAAGCTAGTATAAAAGACCTCTTTCAAGAGGATTTACCTATAGGGGTTGAGGCCAACATGTCAGATGTATTGGAGTAGTACTTTTTGATTTAAATAGTGCATTATCAGTTCTTTGAGGGGCAGACAATATGTTTGACTTCAGTCTGAGAAAGCTACCAAGTGGTTTAAGTTAATGTCATAGAGGAAAAGTGTTCAAGTAGTTTAACATCAACAGGAATAAAAGAGTATGTAAACCAGAAGGGAAAAATGAATGAAGAAGGAGCACATTCACAATGCTGTATGTTTAACAAAATACGTTTAGATGGTAATATCCAAGTCTTATCAAGTGCTACAATCTTTTTAAACAGGGAATGGCCAAATCCAGTGCTATTGAAACAGCCTGAAGAATGCAATCTTAATTTGCCTGTATGGGACCCAAGGGTTAGTGTATTATTTTTTCCCCTACAAATTCACACTGTGCAATAACAAGTAAAGTCATCTGCATAAACTCAGGGACACTTTCCATCCTTCTACCTATGAGTGGACATGTTCGTATTACACTTTCTCTTAGATAACCTCAACTCTGATTGTCTTATGTGAGAAGCATAATTATGTACCCTGTCAACTACATTTAATTGTACATATTTATAATAATCAAGTTCACTAACATTTTAATTTATTTTATATAGAACTACCTTGTAAGTTAAAGTGTGCGGGCATTTGTGCTTTAAAAAAAATAAAAGGATACTAAAAATCCCTGTATTTTTTTATTTGATCTAAATATTGTTAAAATTGGGTTGTTTTAGGAAAACTGTTGCTTAATATTTACCTGTGGGTGTTTCAGATTACAGAAACAAGGTGGTGCTAAAGAGCTTCCACTGTGGGAAGTTCCGGTCTTTACTGCTCACTCCATTTAAATGTTAACAACATGCACTTTTTTAATAGGTCAAATATTTAGGTTTGAATAAGGCTTTAGAGGTTTATAAAATTCTATTTTTCGACATTGTCTTGCTATCTTACTACAGTATCAAAATTATTAGCTTCAAGTTCTGTTAATTATTTCAAGTTGTATATTTCCAAGTTTTCCATACCCAAAGGCATTTTTGGAGAGATGTGAGTTTATAGTTTTCTTTGTGGAAATATACCACTTATCCATAGTATATGGGTTAAGATAAATAGTTACTGAATCAGTTCATTATCTCGTAAAAGGATACCAACATGGAAAACAATAGTTTCACTATGTGTTAATAAATTAAGCTTAATTCTTTATACGTTGAGGGTATATTGAAGTATAAGTTTTCATCTTGTTTAAATTTGTTTTACACAGAATATTGGAGTAAGACATTTCTGAAAAGTGTAATTGTGTGTGCATCCCCATTTCTGTTGTTGAAAAAAGAAAGACTAAACATCAGTAGCTGTCCAAGTAGGACCTTTTTGCTGGGCAGGCACACTTTCTGTAGAGTGAGGTTTCCAAAGTAGTCATGCCTGAGTGATTGAACAGACCGTTAGCTCCACCAAATCCAGATTCTATAAAGAATTCCTTTAAAAACAATGTCTCCTTACATGGTTTTTCTTTCTCAACTCCAGCTAAGAATGAAATAAAATTTAATCATTGGTTCAGTTTAACAAGGGGTAAAAAGTCCAAGTATCTGTTGCCTATGTACTTGAAGAAACTGATTGGCTGTTGTTATATGTAGGTAAACCCCAGTGATAGGTACCATCTTATGCCTATAATTACACCAGCATACCCACAACAGAACTCCACGTACAATGTGTCCGTTTCAACACGGATGGTCATGGTTGAGGAGTTTAAACAAGGTAAGTGGTTATCCTTATGCTCTCCTTTATACACAGGGTTTACATAGTCATTGTAGACCCGTAGTTGGGTATACAATTTAAGTTGAAGAAAGCATTCACCAAGGTAGATTTTTGGTGTTTTTATTTATTGATTACAATATATATTTGGGAATTGATATGAAAAATAAGTTTAATTCCTTTTAGGCAGGAATTTTTAATTATTTTTGATTATATAGTGACACTAACCAGTATTTAAAGCCATATTCTTAGCAGGGCTTTTTGGGGTTGGTTTAGTGACATATACGATTGCCATGTAAAATTTTAAATAATCCCATGAAATGAGTTGTTTTTAGCAAACTATATTCTTGGAAAGAACTTTGGGCAGGATTGGGTTCAAACTGCTCATTATTTTGGAAGAAACTCTAAACTTTTCTGAACCCCAATAGTATTGTTTGTTTGAAAGTACAGCTGTTGTCGGTCTTTGAGGAAGGGATTGTTTGATTGGATAGACTACAGCCTAGGAAGTAAAATTAGCTGTACAACTTCCAGCTCAGACTCCCAGAGGACCATACTTTTCTGTGGTCTAAACAGCCTCCTGTGGGAAGATATGCTATTCTTTTAGAGTCAGCAGGAAGCATGTTTTTGAAAGACAAGAAACGTAGCTTTGGGGAGAACTATAATGCGTCAGTTTTTGAAGTCATTTTATGAGCGTGGAATTTTAGACTAATGGTAATATATCAGACTGGGCTCTCAAGTCCTCCAGCTTTTTTGAAAAGTACTTATGTAAGAATTTTATGCTCTGAAACTATTGACTAAAATTGCCTTTTGTTAACATTATTTTAGGTTTTAGGGAACGCATGTGGTATGTTTAAGATCTTTAAAACTCTAGGTTGTTAGACTGAACTATGCAAACATTTTAATATGTTTTTAATTTAGGTCTTGCTATCACAGATGAAATTTTGCTGAGTAAGGGAGAGTGGTCCAAACTTTTTGAAGCTCCAAACTTCTTTCAAAAGTACAAGTATGTATTTTAAGGCATGTCGGACATGTTGCTCTCTTAAGTAATGGTTCTTATGTGCAGTCTCTTCTTGCTGGATGAATGTAGTTCTGAATTTTCCTTAAACATCTTCTACAGTCCTTGCCTGTCACAAAGGTTGCACTGTTTTTAGTTAAACCCTTATTTTTTAATCTGTCAAGGTGAAGTATGGCCCCAACAGTTTGCTGCCTTCTGTAATCAGACTCCTCCATTTGTAGCAACTTCAGTTTTGTAGATACTGTTAGTCCTCACCAAACCTCAAAATCTGTATGCCCTGGCAAAGGAGTGAACTGTTAAAATTTGTAGTTAATATTCTCTACTAAGAAACTAAGTATTTTCAGCTATTTCTCTCATCATTAAGAGTCCCTATAACATAGGCAAAGCTAATAAAGTGTCATTATAGTTAAATGTTTTCAGTAGTTACAGCATACAATTGGCCTACGGTTTTCCTCTAATGTCAATAAAGCCCCTTTAAATATCTCCACAAATAATTTTTTTTTTGGAATCTAGGTTGGGGTAATAGTTTTTACTAATGGTTTTAATATAATGGTTTAACACCTTAGTACAGGTTAAAAGCCTGATTGTGTTGGTTTTGATGAAATTGTAAGTTACAATAAATCTTTATAAAAAAATTGGACTTGCCCTTTTATTTGCCCTGAGCTGAAAACTTGCCAAAGTCCCACTTAAATTTTTTTCTTTAATGGTTGAAACTTTCCTGACCATTGATTTTGTGGATTGTGTTTTGTAATCTAAGTAAGATTGCTTTATGCTATTTCCCCAATTAAAAACAAGAATGATGACCTTCATGATGTCTCTGTGTTTTGTTTCTGTATCTTTTGCATGAAATAGCAGTGATGGAGCCAGCTTATTGTTGTGTTCTGGGAGCACTACCTTGCCAGCAAACAGTTAAATAGCATAACATTGAATGTTCTTGTTTATTACTTATTCCCCATAAGTTGTGCTTTTCCATTTGGCAGACAATTTTTGTTTGTTTTTTATTTGAACCAGTGTTTAGGGAGTACTTTTGAACATTTAAGCTAATGAACATATATTCTGATACTTTAAAAACTACATAATAGAGTACATAATTACTTGTGTGGAGAGTAATCAATTGGTTTTGTTGACAAGTAGCACCATCTCTTAATCCCTGAGAATCAAAGATGAAGCTAAGTTCATTCTTTTTCCTATCTCATTTCCTTATAGGATGAGAGGTGGGTAAAATGAAGTTCTTGAAAGTACTTAAGTGTCTTTCTTTACTTTAGGAAAGATTACTGTTGAAATTGAATAAAGCTTGATAGTGTTATCCATTTGAAAAAGTTTGTATTACTAGAACTTGGATTTTTTTTTTTTTTAAGCTTGCTTAATCTTTTTCTCTTAAAACTTTTAGGCTGTCTTTTAATCTGTGCCTAATAGCATCTGTCAGCTCTTCAGTAGACTGATTAAAAGATTATAGATTCCTATCTTTACTGGATTTTCTTGAAACAATCATTGTAGGTTATCACAAATGACTAAACTAAACTTAATTAGACATGAGGATATAGCAATAAATAAAGGAAATTAGGTCAGGAAAAAATTTCAGCTGTGAATTCTTGGAAAACAGATTTGAAATCATGATAATGATTGGCTAATTTTGTCTATACCAAATACCAAATTGAATTTCTTCAAAACATTTTCTCAAATTTTTAGTATTTACAGATTTTAATTTATTTTTTGAGAGAGAGAGAAAGGGAGAGAGAATCATCATGTGATCCATATCAATCAGTTTCCTCCAGAGCACACCTGAGTGGGGACTGAACCTGCAATCTGGACATGTGCTCTGATCAGAAACGGACCCTTCCACTGGACAGGACAATACTCCAACCACATGAGTCACACAGGCTAGCCCTGACTCTGTCTTTAAAATATATGACCTACTCTAAAGATTGGCTATACAACTGAATTGAAATTCTTAGTTTTCTCTTGAGTCAAAGTTGGTTAAACCTTACTTGAGGTATATCGTGCAAGTATTTGTTTTGTCTAAGATTTTAAATTGTGTAAAATATCTGCTTGCCATCTTGGGAGAGAAATATGGAGGGGATTTTATTTGTCTTCTGAATATATCATTTTCCAGAAGGCATCAGTGGTCCTTGTGAAAGGAATAACATTGTGCTGTGAAATCTTAAAATAGTCCTAAGAAAATTTTTTTTATGTTTTTCCTTAAGGGATATTCAAATTGACACTTAAGATATAGAATAAGTTATTGACATAGTAACTGTCAATACTTATTTTAGGTGTTTCATTTCACTAGGAAACGAGGAAGGGAAGATGTAGGAAAAAAGCCAGAATGTTTAAGGTAGGGGTGTCGAACTCAATCAGAGAAGGGACCAAAATCTAAAATCCAGCCTAAATCGCGGGCCGAATGGTTTACTGAACAGTCATAAACTGTCATTGTGATGGAAACGCAGCGGAGTGCAGTGATGACAGCGCGGTGCGGGCCACATTGCAAGGCCTGGCGGGACGGATTTGGCCCGCGGGCCTTGTGTTTGACACATGTGGTTAAGGTGTAAGATTAATAATTTATAATTTCAAGGAGTACATATGTATAGAATACTTCAGCCTTAAAATGTTTAAAAAACTTTAAAAATAATGAACTATAAGTCTTGGTCCAGAGTTACTTATAGATGGAATAGCAAGGATTTTTGTCAGAGATAATTAAATTTTCACTCATAGGAGCTATGATCTACCCAGGAAAAATATTAATGTATGAAATAGGAAACCTTACAAGATACTTTTTTAGGGGTAAATAGCATAATAGCAACTAAATTAAATGTTCTTGGAATTTTTTAAATAGGGTTTAATTTATTTGGAGCACAATTTTATACTTAAATTTGTTATGGGAAATAGATAAATTTTAAATTTGGAAAATGTTAATTGCTATTACATTAATACTTGAAAGTATCTCTGAAGGCATCTTGAGTGCCTGAATTCTGACAGAATGAAATAGGGATTGCATTTTTTTTTTTTTTTTTAATATATTTTATTGATTTTTTTTTTTTTTTACAGAGAGGAAGAGAGAGGGATAGAGAGCTAGAAATGTCAATGAGAGAGGAACATCGACCAGCTGCCTCTTGCACACCCTCTACCGGGGATGTCCCCGCAACCAATGTACATGCCCTTGACCGGAATCGAACCTGGGACCTTTTCAGTCCGCAGACCGACTCTCTACCACTGAGCCAAACCGGCTTCGGCTGCATTTATTTTTTGAACAGCAACAAAATAGTCTACATTTAGTGCTACTTGATCTTTGTGTTCTGGTAGGGATTTGAGGAACTGAACACTGATTCTGGTTTTTAAGATTTACACTGAGTTGGGATTCTGTTCTTAGTTTCTTCCATAGGCAAGTCTTTGTTTTATAAATTAAGTTCTTTTATAAATTAAGTTATTTCTGTTAAACTTGATTATTATATTTTGTATCTATAACTTTAAGTTTGCCAAAACACATTAAGTGCCCTGTCAGTCACCAGTGACTGACATTATATTTTCTGTCCGGAAGACAAAACAGGCTGACGCTTAACCTATTAAGGCTGAGTAAAGGACATTTAACCTCACATAAATATTTGTCAGTTATTCAGCACTCTCTGTGGCGTGGAAACAAACGCATTTGTATTTAAACAATTTACAGAGTAGATACCCTCCCCCCATCTCATCCAGAACCAGAGTCGAACTCTAAGCTTCAAGACATTAACCTTTGAGTTGCCAACAAAATATGTTTAAATGAATTGTATATTTGCTTTAGTAAATAAAGAACATTGCACATTTTAGCTCTTGTTGAAGACTCAGATGGTCATTAAGAATATCCGTTTTAATAGTGTGGTAAAATGACTTAGAGATGGCGAATTGTGTCTCTAAGCTAGGTGAACTCAGACAATTTTGCTTTTTTTTTTTTTTGTATGTTTGCTTTTTATACTTTGTTGTCTCCTGTAATAAGTTGTTATACTTTGTCAGAGAGCTATCTGCCTTTCCTTTTTTGTTTTTTAAATCTGCCCATTTTCAACTTCCTAGGGAACTAGAAATCAGGTTACTGATCTTGTTAGGATTCATTTGATTTTAGACAATTTAGGGCTCCTGAGAGTAGGGTTCTGTGTGCATAAAATGCATGAGCTTTTAAAAGTGCTTTCATGTGACTTCTTTATTTGGCCATCTGTGCTTGTTCTCGGTACAGTTGACCCTTGAGAAGTACAGAGGTTAGGGCACTAACACCCATGCAGCTGAAAGCCTTTGTGTAACTTTGACTCCCGAAGACTTGACCACGGAAAGTGTGCTGGTGACTGGAAGTGCTATTGATGACATAATTGAGAGACTCAATTTGTATGTTATTCAAGTATTTCATACTTTGTCCTTACAGTAAAGTAAACTAGAGAAAAAATGTTATTAAAATCATAAGGAAGATGCATTTGCAGTATTTATTGGGGGGAAAAAATCACACGTTAGTGGACCTATGCAATTCATACATACCTGTGTGGTTCAAGGGTCAGCTGTATTGGTTTGCTCCAAATAATGCTGAACCAGTTAAACTGGGAAAGGAAGTATTAGTCTGCATATTCACATATGTACGTAACTATATGCTTTCATATGTATATACATTCCCTCTGTTACCCTTAATTTATAAGTAGTTGAGCTTAACTCATTTGAGCCTCCCAAGCCCTTCTCAGGTATTACCTATTGTACAAATCTTTGGTCTGAGTCCCACAGCTATGAGAAATCCCCCCCCCCCCCCAATACTTTGTGAGCATAATCAAATGGTCTGTTTTAATGGAGTTTGGTTAAAATAAATGCTTAACTTTGCCAAATCTTCAGTATCTCTTGCCTCTAAATATCTTCAGGGGGTGGGTGGCTAATTTGAACTAGTGCTGGTAGTTTCTTTTCTGGGTCTCAGGCATGCATTTGCTTCCGGCAAGAAATCTTATTTGTAAGATGTGAAAGATAACATAAAAAGTTCAGCCTTTTGAACGAATAATTTAAAATTTTTGGTCATGCTTAAACTGGTAATTTTAGTTTGCTTTTTGAGGTAAAGTGAGAAGTTTGGCTTCCAGCACAAGTAAAATGGATTCTGTAGGAGAGTTTATAGGACTGAACTTCCTTACGCTTATGAAATGGAATTGTATGAATTATGCTTCAGTTACAATCTGTTTTAAAAATACTTAAAATAATTATTTGTCATTTTTTAAAAATACATTTTTTGTTGATTTCAGAGAGGAATGAAGAGGAAGAGAGAGATAGAAACATCAGTGATGGGAGAGAATCATTGTTTGGCTGCTTCTTGCACACCTCTCACTGGGGATTGAGCCCGAAACCCAGGCCTGTGCCCCTGACTGGAATCGAACCTGGGACCCTTCAGTCTCCAGATCGACGTCTATTCTTGATAGTGTTTTCTAAAAACTTGCTCTCTTTCTAAGTTTTTAAAAATCCTCTCCTGAGAATACTTATCTATTGATTTTTAGAGAGAGTGGAAGGAGAGGGAAAGACATTTGTGTGTTTCTCTCACATCGATTGGTTGCCTTCTGCATGTGCCCTGACCAGGGTCTGGGCTGGGGAGTAGCCTGCAGCTGAGGGACGTGCCCTTGACAGGAGCTGAACCTGGGACCCTTCAGTCTGCAGGCCAATGCTCTGTCCATTGAGCCAAACTGACTAGGGCGCTTTTTCTCTTAATTTCAATGGAATTGGAATCTGCATAGAAATAAAATATCCTCAGTCGTCTCACCTTAGTGATGTCTGCTGCTTTGTTACAGAAATGTATGCTGTTACTTGAAAAAAGTCATGAGGCCTAACTTCAGTATTAATTAACGTGGCTTGTTTTTGCTACCTTTTATTTGAATTAAGAAGCATGATGTGTTTGATACTGCTTTTTGAAGATACTGATGTAATATGCAGTTTTAGTGATCCTGTTTTTGTGGCTTCAACCTTGCTTGGTGCTTTATTTCCATTCAAATGATTTTGTTCTAATGCACTGTATTTTAGTGAGCAGCTTTTTATAGGTAAAGTGCTCTATTGTAGTCATTGGACCAAATTATCAGGTAGTGTTTATTCAGCATTCTTGAATTAAGCTGCTTTTGGGGTAATTATTCATAAAACAATAATGGTACAGAAGTATTAAACGTGCCAGTGGTTATAGCAACTTGAACATTTAGCTTTTCTTATTTTATGTACATTGTAAGAGTGTAATTTCTCCCTTGCTAAGTTGATGCTGATACATAACTCATGAAGCTTATTATCTTATGGTGTTAATATCCAGCACAAAGCACTTAAATTAAATAAATAGCATGTTGTCTTTATCTTCAAAGGCATTATATTGTACTTCTAGCAAGTGCACCAACAGAAAAACAACGCCTAGAATGGTAAGTACAAGATTAGACTTTACAGAAAAAATAAGCTTCCAAATGAATCAGATAGCCACAGAATGCAGTAGGAGAGGGGATGAAGTTCTTAAAACATCCAGTTTGGTTTTATTCATAAATAGCGCTTTATTACTTATAATGAAAGTATAGGGATTTGGGGTTTTATATACAACTTTTGTTTGCTTTAGATCCATGTATAATTTCCTAACTGTTTAAAGTATGTTAAAAAAAAAAGTGCTTTAATTTAGCATACTATTGTTTTTCTTTAAATATTTGTGAGGATATGTTTTGTTACCTTCCTAGTTTGAAGTGTGGTTTGATTATCTTCTTCCCTGTTTTCTCTTCAGCATTTTTGGGTGGAGCATAAGGCTTTGTTTTAACTATGGGGCCCAGACAGTTGAACTGCCCTCTGTGTATTGAATTATGATCTTCAAAATACTGCTTTACATAAACATTTGGTTCTGTATAGTTCGATATATTTTTTAAATTTTTATTAATACTGAGTGACATTTGTTTAGGGTGGGGTTGGTGGAATCGAAAATCCGAATCTTGGTTGGAAGTTTGGAGAAGAATGAATTTATTACACTGGCTCATGTGAATCCCCAGTCATTTCCAGCACCCAAAGAGAATCCTGACAAGTAAGCAGCCTTCTATTTTAATTTCCTCTTCCCATTTTTAACTTTTACTCAGCGAAGCATTTATAGGCAATTTTTAATAACTGGAGTCACTTTTATTGAATATATGTGGCTCAAAACCAATTTGAGATTTACAGTTTAGGTTTTCCTGAAGAGAAAAATTATTTCTAGAGAAAAACTACCACTGAAATACACGGTGCTTATTAATGAACGAAGAGTTCATGTTCTGCAGATCTGCCTTTTAGCACTCTTTCTGAACATCTTTCCTGTCCTGTTTTGTGCAGTAGTTGTCAGAATAGCTATTACAGCAAATATCAGTCTTTGCAGTTTGTCTTAATTTTTAAAAGAGAATTTACTTGGATTTGACTTGTGAAACTCTTGACTTGTATTCTGGAACACTGAGGAGATACGATAAAAGCAGCTCACTTCATATTGTAAGGGTTTTTCATGGGTTAATTTCTGGTTTGATTGATGAGGTTCTATATGTATTTTGTTGCATTTAGGAGAGTAAAGTAAGTTTTCATAATAAGCTTTTTAAAAACAGGATTAAAGAGAGATTGAAAATACAAATAATGGATCATTTAAGATTGTGCTTGTAAAGAATAGCTGTTATTCTGATTGCTTGTACAGGTTTTCTTTTTCAGTCATGTAAGAGTGTGATTTGAGCTTTGTAGACATTTTTTGTTGTTGCAGTCTTAATTATTGAAAGACTACACGCTCCATTCAGTAGATATGTCACTAAATGTTCAAAGGTATGAAGTACCCTTGTTCCAGTTACTATGCTGTAGTCAATTTCTGTTCATGTGGCCTTTTCAATTAAGTTTTAAAAGTTAATATATTTTAAGTTCTAGTTAAGTTTTTATTTCAAGGATATCATTTGTTTCACATTTTTCTACAATATGTTAATTCCCTTCCTTTGCTGGTTTGAACATAATTTTTCTTTGTTTACAGTGTCTCTGGTATTTTTGGATCATCATTAAGAAAATTGGCTATAACTATTGTACATAGATAATACAAGTATTTGGTCCTAGTGCTCTGATGGTGTACTTATTAATTTTGTGCACCAGGCCTCTAATATATTTATATTTCAAGTCTTTCCATATACCTCTCTTCGATAACTATTTTTATGAAAGCTTGTTTAACTATATTAATACTCTTCTTTTCAGGGAAGAATTTCGCACAATGTGGGTGATTGGATTAGTGTTTAAAAAAACTGAAAACTCTGAAAATCTCAGTGTTGATCTCACCTATGATATTCAGTCCTTCACAGATACAGGTATAGCTCTACTTGGACAATTAAAATGTACTTGCGTATTTGAATTTGTCTTCACATTTCATAGTGATATTTGTAATAAATATTAAAATTTCCTGGGAATAGTGAACACTAATCATAAAAATACTCTTATTTTTTTGGATTTATTAGTTTCCATTTTCTAATATATAAATTATTATTTTTTCTATTATGGTAGATATAAAGTTAAGTAAAGCTATTTTAAATTTGATTTGTTCACAATTACTTATAGAAACACTTGAATATTTGATTGTCTAAAATAGGGGTGTCGAACTCAATCAGAGAAGGGACCAAAATCTAAAATCCAGCCTAAATCGCGGGCCGAATGGTTTACTGAACAGTCATAAACTGTCATTGTGATGGAAACGCAGCGGAGTGCAGTGATGACAGCGTGGTGCGGGCCACATTGCAAGGCCTGGCGGGACGGATTTGGCCCGCGGGCCTTGTGTTTGACACATGTGGTCTAAAAGACCGACTCTGTGCCTGATTGCCTTGTACCGTAGGAATTTCTGAAGCTAAACTTTTGGTAGCCTTGAGGAAATTTATCCTCTATGTCAAATACAGACTCGAGTGTTTGTTTATTAATGGGTGAGAGAGAGGGTGATTGAGCTGATTTCAGACTGACCTGTACCCTGAGATATAGTATATAGGTTAAGGTCCAAAGGGAGATACAGTGGACAGAACTAAGGCTGTATAAATGCTCAGCTTTTCAAGGGAGTGGTGAGTATGTGTAGAGACAATGATGAATGGCATCTTTTTTAGGGACTAATTTTTCTTTCAAACAACCTCCCCACCCCCATTTAAAAACTCTAGTGTGTATCATTTTCACTGTCCTCAATAAAGAGTTCCCCCAAGGACATTCAGATTTAACATTAAAAGTTTTTTTAATCCTTAGAGAAGGAGGGACAACAATTTTTCTAATTTGCTAAAAAGTCAGTATTATACACTAAATGTAAAGGAGAAATAAAGGGAAAAGAATATGTATTTCATAAATATGTATGCAATGCCTCGATACAGTGACTAGAAGATTCACTGTACTCAGATTTACACCCAGGTGTAGTCACTAGCACTGTGACCTCTGCAAACTCCTACTGAGCCAGGTGTTCCTTTGTGATTCAGAGACCAGCAGCATTGCAATTGGTGACATAATGAAGCTAAGGCTTTAAATTGAACAAAAGGTGATCTCTTTATGTGGTAGTTGCATTCCTGGAAAATTCAGATTTAAATTTTTTTTTTTTTTTTGGTAAAATTGAGTTTCTCATCTTTAGGAATGTAAGTAGGACATGGTCCGATTCTTTATTGTGAGGAACTCTGTACTCAGGATTACACGTAGTATCAAGTAATAATCTTTAATTACTGAGACAACAAAAGCACTCACGCAGGCTTTTAGGATGATCTGGGGGTGCTGATGACTATCTGCTGAGCACCACAGAAGTGTGTTTTTCCAAAGTAAAAATTCTGATGTCACCATAAACCATTTGTCAATAACAAATCATGTAGAGATAAGTGAATTAGAAAATTTGTTTTGTACTTTGCATCTAAGTTGAGCTGTTTATCAAAGATTGTATGAGTGAACTGTCAAGATTTTCAAGGCACTTTCAGGTATTTTTGGGTAGCGAATATTTAGTTGTCCTGTATCTTGAACATTTTAATGGAATACTTTGTGAGAGTTTTTTTTTTTTTTTAATAAAACAAATTTTACTTGTTCAAAACCCAAAATGCTACCTCCACTCTCTTCCAACTTTTCCAAATGGTTTTTGTCTCAAGTTTTAGCAACTGTTTTCTTGTAGTTGTTCAAGCTGAAAACCTTGGAGTCTTCCTCTCTTGTTTTTCTCAGATAGTAAGTCCTCACTTAATGTCATCCATAGATTCTTGGAAACTGAGACTTAAGTGAAACGATATATATAACAAAACCAGTTTTGCCTTAGGCTAATTGATATAAACATGAGTTAAGTTCATACTGCATAGTTCTGGTTTCATAATTATCACCAAATTTCTAAATAAAGATCCCAAAAACACTTAAAGTGTTGAACGTTGAAATAAACGTGAGCTATACATGACATTTAAGGAAGATTAATAAAAGGTAGTAAGATAATTATTCCCACTTATTCCAATTCAAGGTGACTGGTGACTGGAGCCTCTCCTGGTAGCTCAGGGTACCAGGTGGGACCTATCTGGACAGGACACCCTTCTAGTGCAGGGCACACTCACTCAAGAGACTGGGACAACCAGACACACCAGTTCGCCTGACTGTACAGCTCTGGGATGTGGGGACACTGGAGTTCCTGGGGGAGACATGAGGAGAAGATGCAGACTCCGCACAGGCAGCAATCCTGGCCAAGAATCACCCCAGCCCCCTTAACCAATGGTTTAACGAAATGACATTATTTGAGGAACTGCTGTGCTTGATATAAATCCATTAAAATGTTTTTTGCCTCTGCTTTCAGAATACATTGCGATTTCCTCTGCTGTCAGCCTAGTCTGGGTCACACCACTTAATTGCTATTGCTATCAGATTCTTATACTGCCCTTGCCCACCTTCAGCTATTTCAGCCAATATCCAAAGCATGTCTCGCCTGTTCAAAACCTGTAATGACTATCCATGTCTTTGGAATACAATCCAAGTCTTTACTGTGGTTTACAAGCCTTTACCTGATCTGACCTCTCCTTATGTCTGACCTCATTTTTTAGTATAAGCTTAGAATTCTTATTCATCTGTCTTGGAGCCAGAAAGTAATAAAGTTAGTATCATTCCAGGGCCCAGAGCAACATTTTTAGCCAAAGAATTTCTACAGGGAGCTGTCTGCTAGACACAGTAAGCAATGGTGGAGATCAAACAACCACAAATAGAGCAGGGCAGGGTTTGTTGCCAGACGAGTTTTGGCGCCAATCTTATGAAAAACTTCTGTGTTGGGGGGGAGTTTTTGGGGTTTTAGAATTAGATAAAGGATTACTGATCTTTACTTTTCCTCCTTCCCTGTGGCCTTTTTGTTGTTCCTCGAACATTCCAGGTATGCTCTCCACTCAGGACATTTTGTCCTTGATGTTTCTCTTCCTGGAATGCTATTCCACCAGGTACTGTCAGATCACTTCCTCACTCCATTTAAGTCTCCACTCCATGTACTCTTAGTGTCCAGGCTGAGCTGCTTTTCTTCCTACTCGATTTTCCCCAGAGCGCCTATCACCACCTGATATGAAATAGTTGACTTTCGAGCAACACAGGTTTGCATTGAGCTGGTCTGCTTACACCATAAAGATCACTTGCCACCACACAGTTCAAACCCACGTTCAAGAGGGCACTCCGTGGTGGGAATCCACGTGTGGAGGGCCAGCTAGAGTTCTCTTTGTATTTTTGACTTCTGGGGGGGGGGGGGGCACTGCACCTAATCCCTCTGTTAGAAGGATAACTGTTTACTTAATCCCCCCCCCCCCCCCGTTGATTATATATTTCCTATTGGAATGTAGATTCAAATTATTTTAGTGTCTTATTCCCTGCTATGCCCTGTGTCTAGAGCAGTGTGATATGTATAGCCACTCCATAATTATTTATTGTTGAACTCAGTGAATGAATTTTTCCATTTTTGGAATCTTCTGAAACTAAATTATTTGGATTTATTTATTTTTAGCACATTACTTTCGTTCCTATGACCTGTTATTTGAGTTATTTCTGTAATAGAAAATATTACTAGTTGTCTTGCAGTTCTTGAAAAGGTATCTTTAGGTATATTTAAATAAGCTTGACTTTTGCTTTACTGAATTTGTTACTTAGATTAGAATTTAAAATTTTACTGGTAGCATTAAAGGGAATGGGCTTAACCTATTTTTCTCCAATTCCACTGTTTCTTAAAGAGTGATTTTTGAAAGTTACCACTTTAAGAGTTTTTGCACAGGAAGAATTCATGTACTTTGTGTTTTTTTGTATGTTTTTCATTTTGTAAACCTGGTAAAAGGACTTAGTTTGAGTAGAGATGGGTTTTCACCTGGTTATTGAATCCATGTGAAGTATTGATGTTTAAAGGATGATCCCTGCTTAGAATAGCCTCTCCTGGATAAGTTGAACTGCATTATTAAAATGTTTTTATTTCTTGTAACAATTTCCTAATTGTGTAGTTTATAGGCAAGCAATAAACAGCAAGATGTTTGAGGTGGACATGAAAATTGCTGCAATGCATGTAAAAAGAAAGCAACTCCATGAACTACTACCTAATCATGTGCTTCAGAAAAAGAAAAAGGTAAATTTAAGAAGTACTGACAAAAACATTACTAATATAATATTTTATGTGTTCAGGCTATCAGAACTTCAAAACTGTAGGCTCAGGGAATGTTACATTTAAATAGTCACGGCATTTAAAAAATCTGTTAAGTGGAGCAGTTGCATTATATGAAATCTTTTTCCTAACCAGGTTTCTTGCACACACTTGCTTCAGACTTTAGATAGATTAGCGGGGGTGCTTTGTATCCTTATTTTATATATACTTAGATTCTCTTCAGAATCTTTTCATAGCCATTTAATATTCCACATAAGTATTTTCCATCTTTTTAAAAAAGTAAACAAATTCAGTTAGGTATTCTATAGCTCAAGTAAATTAAATGATTTTTTTTTCAATGAAAATGGCTCTATTTTGGTAAGAATTATATGTATATTTATTTTATTTAAATTTTTAAAGTTATTGAAGATAAAGATCACTAACAGAGGTCACCAGTGTTAATGTTTTATATTATGTTATTAGTGCTTCCTATTGAGTAACTTAGCTTTTTTATTATTCGGACTTAACATAGAGGACAGATTTTAATTCAAAGATGTTTGCTTATGTGGTTTCAAAAATAAATGACTTATTCCTATAATGGAATACTTGAACATAGCCATGAAAATAAACGAACTACAGCTACATATTATGTTGAGTTAAAAAGGTACAGATGAGTATGTACTATTTGATACATTTATATGAAGTTTACAAGTTTAAAAAAATATATGGTTTTAAAAACATATTTTTACTGATTTCAGAGAGGAAGGGAGAGGGAGTTAGGGATAGAAATATCAATGATGAGAAAGAATCAAAGATTGGGCTGCCTCTTGCATACCCCCTACTGGGGAATCGAACCCAGGACCAAAAACATAAATGGTTTAAGAGAGAATTTACATTAATAAAAGAGAAATGCGCAAATTGACTGTACTTCCGCAATACCCACAAGCCAATCATGAGTGAGTATGTAGATGACCCCAACAAACATGGTGGGTTAATCTGCATATGTGAGTGGCAGAGGGTGGGGCGGCCGCTTACCTACATACCGGCGCCATGCGGCCTGCATCCCAGGGTCAGGCATCCTTGGGAGCCAGGCTGCTCTGAACCTGTAGTTCTGCCCATAGGCCTGGAGCAGCTGGGGTCCTGGAAGGACCTCTGACCACTCCGGGCCTCTGTGTACTGGCACGGAGCAGTGGGGCAGGGCAGGAACATCCCCCAAACCCAGGCGTCCTGAGCCAGCGCACACACAAGTGGCCAGGGGTGGGGCGGGTATGTCCTACCAGCGAGCAGGCAGACAGCAGGGCTACCACAGCCAACAGACAAGCAGTCCCTTGCAGGGAGCGAGCAGAAAGCAGGCCCCCATAGAGAGCAGACACCAGGGCCTGTGGTGGCATCAAGCAGGCAGGTCTGCAGAGAACAGAGAACCACGGGGAGCAGGCCTAAGCCTTCAGTAGGACATCCCCTGAGGGCTTCCAGATTGTAGAGGGTTGGGCTGAGGGACACCCCACCCCCCCTCCCTGTGCACGAATTTTGTGCACCTGGCCTCTAGTATGAAATAAAAGTATATATTAGCGAACAATAACCATCGAATTCACCATAATGGATGGTTAACAGATGGGAAATGAGGAATAAGGTGCTTATTTATGTACATAGTGGTTTCTCTAGTTCTAAATTAAAAATTAGAGCATATATGCACACACTTGCACATACACATGTATGGGATATGAGTTTTTGTCAACACTGCAAATTATTTCGATTAAAATGTTTCTGTAATAAGTGAACACTGAGGCTGAGAGTTCTGGAAAGAAAAAACAAGTAAATTTGACATTGTAATAGCATTAATTATCGAAATGGAAATCTTAAGTCACTTTAGAAATCAACATTCATAAAATGACTTACAGTTTTTTAGTTTTCTTTTGTTTTCCTATATTTAGTTACTATCTTTGAGTGTTTTGCTTTTTAAGAGGCAGGGCCACCATTAGGATTTACATGTGGGTATAAAGTTTAGTTTTCAGAAAATGATTCTTTTCCATAGGATAATTTAAAATATATATATATATTTTATTGATCTTTTTACAGAGAGGAAGGGAGAGAGATAGAGAGCTAGAAACGTTGCAGAGAGAGTAACATCGACCAGCTGCCTCTTGCACACCCCCTACTGGGGATGTGCCCGCAACCAATGTACATGCCCTTGACCGGAATCGAACCCGGGACCTTTCAGTCCGCAGACCGACGCTCTTACCACTGAGCCAAACCGGTTTCGGCTCCATAGGATAATTTACACTATTAAACTACCATGTTAAAATCCTAAGTGGCCTTAGAGCCGTGGTTGGCAAACTGCGTCTCGTGAGCAACAAGCAGCTCTTTGGCCCTTGGAGCGTGGCTCTTCCACAAAATACCATGGCCTGGGCGAGTCTATTTTGAAGAAGTGGCATTAGAAGTTGTTTAAGTTTAAAAAATTTGGCTCTCAATTTCAATTGTTGTACTGTTGATATTTGGCTCTGTTGACTAATGAATTTGCCTACCACCGCCTTAGAGCATTAAGGAATCCTTTGCTTGGGAGAGGCTCATTGATTTACAAATATAATAAAGTTTATTGTACAATATTTTAAAAATCTGTTAACAATTCTAATCCCAATAGCTAGAGATATTAATTAGCATCATGTTATTAGTAGACTTTTCTAATACATTTATGAATGTATATTTAAGCCCTCAGATTTAAGATCCATGTCGTTTCATGTACTTTTTAATTGGCAATGTGTTTTGTATTCAGTGTGTGTTTAATGTGCCATTTCTTTCTCCTTATTTCTCCCATGGAAGAGCTGTAGTTTGACGGCTTCTTAGAGTTTGTGTCTCTCAAATCTATGCCTTTTATAGTCAGCATCACACTTCTAATTTTCATAAATTTTGATTTGCACTTTTTAGTAGAAATCATATGTCAAGTAAAAGACATGTTCATGCTTCATAGATCTGAATAAAATACAGATGTATTTGATTGAATGTTTTATTGATTGCAGCATTCAACAGAAGGTGTCAGGTTGACACCTCTGAATGAGAACAGCCTCGACTTGTCTATGGACAGTGATAACAGCATGTCTGTGCCTTCACCTACCAGTGCTATGAAGACCAGTCCGTTGAACAGTTCTGGCAGCTCTCAGGGGTAAGGAAAACAGGGAATGGAAGTGTAGTGGATATTTAGAAACATATTCAATTGTTGTTAAAGACATCTATTTAGAATATTAATTTTATTCTATCTTACAATATTTTTAAATAGCCATTTGACTCTTAGTTTTGCGGAAAGTAATTTGTCCTACCGTGTCATACTTGTGTTCCATGTTTTGTGTGGCACTTTACATGTAATTAATATTAAATAAAGTTAAATGTTCTGTTTCTCACTGCCCATATTTCATTTGTGTAGTAACTACCATATGAGATAGCGTAAAGGATATTGTTATAGAAAATTCTATGGGATAGCACTGCCTTAGAAGGCTTGTGTGCTTTTGATTGTTGGTTATATCTTATATGAAGTCAGTTACATTGTATATCTGAGGAGTAAATCTGAACAATCCTTTAGAAAATAATTTCACAAAATGTTATGACTGGACTTTATGCTTCTCTGTTTACTTGTCACCGTCTTTAAACAGCAGAAACAGTCCTGCTCCAGCTGTGACAGCAGCATCTGTGACCAACGTCCAGGCCGGCGACGTTCCTGCTCCACAAGCGGATTCCAGTGAAAGCTCAGGGGGCAAGGGAATTGGTTTGACAGGTAGAGTACTTAGTTACATGGCGTTTCCGCCTTTGCCTTTAGTTTTTGTTGTTAATTCTCACCCGAGGATATTTTTTCCTTTTTTTTTTTAGAGAGGAGAGGGGAAGGAGGGGAGAGGGGGAAACATCGATGTGAGAGAGACACATTGGTCGGTTGCCTCCCACCTGGGATCATACCTGCAGCCCAGGTAGCTGCCCTTACTGGGTAATTGAACCCACGGCCTTTTGATACACAGGCTGACCCTCCAACCACTGAGCCACAGTGGACTCAGCCTTCATTTTGAAAGATGGCTTTATTTGTTAATTAAGTAGTTTGAAATCAGTTTTTTAATGCCGTTTTAATATTTGCATGTAAAGTTATCAGCGGTAACAAATTTAGAGAAACAAATGTACCTGGGTGCTGATGATTTAATTTTTATTTATTAATGTTTACTTATTACTTAGGTACATCGAGCGAAAGCATTCCTCAAACTGCCACACAGCCAGCCATTTCATCACCACCAAAGCCTGCGGTCTCCAGAGTGGTTTCTGCAACACGCCTGGTCAACCCACCACCACGACCTTCAGGAAATGCAGCAACAAAAATACCTAATTCCACTGGAGGCATCAAGAGGAGATCCTCACCTCACAGAGAAGAAAGTCCCAAGAAAACCAAAACGGAAGAGGTACCTATAGATTAGTTACCCATGAGAATGCCAGCTTAACTATTTGAAAATCCAGCGAAAGAAAATCTCTGTGAGCCAAAGTGAGAAGCAGGAAGGAGGAAAGCTTGTGGTAAATGTTTAGGGAGTGTTGCCTCTTCCTGAGCTGTGCCTCGCATTCCACCTCTGTAGCCTGTCTAGTTTGTAAGACTGAGCGTGGACTTATACGGCTCCTTCATTTAGTGCTCTCATACAGCTGGCCTTTATGGTTACCGATGAAAAATAAATAATATATATATACATATGTGTGTGTGTGTGTGTGTGTGTGTATGTGTATATATATATATTGATTTCAGTGAGGAAGGGAGAGAGAGCGAGATGGAAATATCAAGGATGAGAATTATTGATTGGTTGCCTTCTGTGCACACCCTTCACGGGATTGATCCCACAACCTGGGCCTCAAAACATGACCTTCTGGTTCATAGGTTGACACTCAACTACTGAGCCACTCTGGCTGGGCGGGCTACTGATTTTTTCATAGCTTTTTTGGACATAGTTTTTGTTTCTTGATCCAAATGGAATTTTGGAGTGTTTACACTTTACTTGGTAAGAATGCGAGTGGTTCTAAGGGAATTTCCTAATGGAATGACTGACCGAAGTTGTAAAGTCAGATTAGTTTGGGGCCTTGAATGATTATTTTTTTCTTAACTCTTTAGGAAATTTTCTAGCATACGAACTTTTATAGGGAATGGTTTATCTTGTCAAAGTCTCAGATAGCTTTAAGAAAAGCAATAAAAGTATCCATTGATTTTAAGTTTGTACCTTAGGCTAGAAATAGGCTTGTTACACAATTGCATTGATCTCTGGAGTGACTCGTGTTGTTTCCTGTTAGCCTTTCACCATTGCCAAAGAGGTGACAGTTCACATGTTTTATTCTCCAGGTCATTCTGAAGTTGTTTTTTTGTTGTCGTTTTAGGAAATAGTCACTATTAATGAAATATTAATTATGTGATGAATTTTGTTACTCTTATGATTCTGTGAATGAAAAATGATTTCAGTATTTTTTAAAACATGTATTCTGAAAACCCGTCTGTGTCTGTTTAATGACCTCCAAAAGCAGTGGTTTTCGACCCTGACTGTACATCAGAATTACTTTTTCAGGGTTTTTTTCTTACCAAAATTTAGGGCCTTCTCCAAATACAGAGTCAGAAACTCTAGGAGTTTAGGCTTGGGAATTTCTTCTCCTTTTTTTTTTACAACAAGGAAATACTCATTAATGTTCCTGTGTAAAACTTAATTCTTTTTTAAAAAAGAAATAACTACTACCAGAGGGGATTAGTTTAGTCCAGTGGTCACTAACCTTTCGTACCTCGCGAACCACCAGCGTTCCTTAGTCCCCCAGTTGGTGGCCACTGGTTTAGTCCATCCCTTCCTCAGTCACCTGCTTCCCACCTCTTCCAAACGCTCCATAAAACATTTGGAGGCAGGAACAGGGTGGGGAACCTCCAGAGCCTATGCTGCTGGATTGTGTTGTGCATCGCTCAAAGAATGGCCTGGTGTGGGTGTGAGTCCACATTTTGTCTATTGTTTGGTGGTGTCAGAGCATTTCAGAATTCCCATTTCTTTTACCTTAGTAAAGTATGTGCAAGCATAGCTCTAGACCCGTGGTCGGCAAACTACGGCTTGTGAGCCACATGCGGCTCTTTGGCCCCTGGAGCGTGGCTCTTCCACAAAATACCATGGCCTGGGAGAGTCTATTTTGAAGAAGTGGCATTAGAAGAAGTTTAAGTTTAAAAAAAATTGGCTCTTAAAAGAAATTTCATTCGTTGTGCTGTTGTTATTTGGTTCTGTTGACTAATGAGTTTGCCGACCACTGCTCTAGACACTCCATTTCCTTCATGTTAATTTTTTTTTTAAGAAAATTAAAAAAAATATATATCTTATTGATTTTTTACATAGGAGAAGGGAGAGAGAGAGAGAGTTAGAAACATCGATGAGAGAGATTCATTGATCAGCTGCCTCTTCCATGCCCCCTACTGGGGATGTGCACGCAACCAAGGTACATGCCCTTGACCAGAATCCAACCTGGGACCCTTCAGTCCGCAGGCTGACGCTCTATCCACTGAGCCAAACCGGTTTTGGCAATTGGTTAATTTTTTAATGATTCTTTGTTAGCTCTAACCAAATATGTACCAGCACAGTATTTGTAATTTCATTTGCTCTTACCTGGCTAGAAAACACTTATGTTTCATGTCTAGTTTAGGGGAGTAACAGGAATGTAAAGTTTTTAAAATTTTAAATGTGCACATAGAGAATCATTTCATGTATCCATGTACCCACCGTGCAGCTTCAGGTATGAGCACCTGGCCAATCCCTGCACCCTTAGTTCTTTCAGCCTTTTCCACTTCTCCAAACATTCATTAGGTTTTTTTTTTAAACTCTTCTATCTAAAAGATAATGGTTACAAAAAAGAAAGTATAACAAAATAAGCGTAACCCACTTAGAAAAACCCCCAATTCATTAATATTAAATATCTAGTCAGTGCCCAAAGATCCCTGATTGTATCATTGATTTGTGTTTTTTTAAAGTCTATATTTGTCCAAATCTTATATAATAAAAAGGCTAATATGCAGGTTCACCAAATGGTGGAACAACCGGTCGCTATGACACCCACTGACCAACAGGGGGCAGACTTTGGAGGCAGTCAGAATTCCTCCGAGTGTTCCTGGACTGCAAGAGGGCACAGGCCTGTGGGGCTGAGCCTCTCCCATCCTCTTCCCCTTCAGTGCACAAATGTCATACACCGGGCCTCTAGTCTATCAATAAGATCCTTTGCTTAGCAATTGATTGATGTCTCAAGTATCCAATAAAATACAGGTTTTTCCCATTTTTTTCTTGCAATTTTATTTTCTATATAGTTTCTTAATCTGGGGTTTGCTTGTTGGCGACTCATTTTTATTTTGACTAATAAAAATGGAATTTTAAACTGTAGAAAAGATCTTAGGATCTTAGTCTCATTTCTTAGAAGAGAAACTCAGGGTTCATTGGCTTTTTTTTGTTTATAAAGCTAATGAAACTCAGAGATAGGATTAGAACCCAGGCTAAAATCATGGTGCTAAATTTGAAGAAGATTGTTAAAAAATATTCTAAATATCCTAGTTTTGAAGCTCTCCTAAGCTGGGTTTTTTATCCTCTGGTAATGAGTACTTGGCATTAGAAATTTTAGCCAATTGGTTCTGCTTAATTAATACACTAAGGTGTATTGTAGGCAGGAGTGTTTAGGTATTGCCAGGTAGTTTAGCTCTGCTAAATCTGCATCATATGCTAAAGCTTTTCAAATATATTTAAATGGTAGTAATGTAAAATAAAAAAATCTGCCATATATATATCTCATATGTTTTTTTAAAAAATATTATGCTATAAATATTTTAAAAACTTGTGGAAAATTTCAAACATGTTAAAATTTATAATGTGCAGTCACGTCTGTACCACTAGCAGTTAACAAATCATTGCCAGCCTTCTTTCATCTACACAACTGCTCACTTCCCATGTTACAAAGCAGTTCCCAGGCATATCATTTCAACCATAAATATTCTAGAAATAAAGACTAATAAAAGCACAGCTATAGTATATTTCACCACGTATATATTTGTGTGTATGTATAAGTACATTTACCAATATTACCATAATGTCACATATCCTGTCAGAATTGAAATGGGCTCAGTAGGGATTTAAGTTACTATTTAAGTATGTATGTTTGAGGGATAAAAATACGGTTTTTATTGGAATTGGTTGATACTGGAATTACCGTGTTTCCCCGAAAATAACACATCCTCTGAAAATAAGACCTAGCGCATGGAAAGATACGACATCCCCTGAAAATAAGACCTAGCGCAACTTTGGGAGAAAAAATTAATATAAGACACTGTCTTATTTTCGGGGAAACAGGGTAGATCTCTCCTACTCTGTAAGTTTACCCTATGGTTTCTATATCTTGTTTTAGAGCTAATTAAAATTAAATTTTAGTTCTGCCCAGTAAATAAAGCAGTGAAATTAGTGTCAAAATTATTTTTCTTGCCAAGACCGGTTTGGCTCAATGGATAGAGCGTCGGCTTGGGGACAGAAGGGACCCGGGTTCGATTCTGGTCAAGGGCATGTACCTTGGTTGAGGGCATATCCCCAGTAGGGGGTGTGCAAGAGGCAGCTGATCGATGACTCTCTCTCATCGATGTTTCTAGCTCTCTATCTCTCTCCCTTCCTCTCTGTAAAAAATCAATAAAATATATTTTAGGAAAAAAAATATTTTTCTTAAGAAAGTGATGCTTATTAACAAGACACTACAGGAATGGGAAAGTGTAGCCATTTTGGGCTTCCCCTGTTCTCTCTTTATCAAAAATGCATTGTTTTGAATAGAATTATAATACACTTAAAAATTAAGACCTGAGGAGAGAGCATTTCTTAAACCTTTTATTCAGGATTTTAATAGGTCTTACTAAGGGATTTTGTGGTAAATTAAAGGGATGTTCTTTTTGAAAAATGTGTGTGTGTGTGTCTGTGTGTGTGTGTTTGTACGTTAGGTGGTGGTGATCAATAACAGTTTTCGTCATTTTCTTTTTAATTTTGGCGGGTACTACAATTTAGTATACTAATTAAATTTGTTAATATTGGAAAAAAATGAAGTGAATCAGTAATTATTTTAAGGCCATACTTGATCTTACAGGTTAAATTATTTCATAACTTAAATTACGTAAGTTAAAGCATTGATTGGCAAATAATCTAAAATTTTCATTTTAGAGAATAAAGCTTTTCTTTTTAAAAACAGGATGAAACAAGTGAAGATGCTAACTGTCCTGCTTTGAGTGCACATGATAAAACAGAAACAAAGGTATACTAAATTTAGCCTTGGTGTACATACACAATGCAGAGGACGGAAGATGTAATAAGAACGTGTGTAGAATATTGTACTGTGTTTTATTCTATAGGATGTTTCTAGAAGTGTCCCTTTTTAATGTTAATTTACAATGTTAATTAAATTCCTAGCGTTTGAGGCCCTTCTAGTTGCACTGTATTGTTGGGCACCTAGCAGTATAGAGTGGTGAGTGAATTATGTTACATTCCTTTAGAGAACTCAGTTCTTTACCATTAAGTAAAGAAAATAAAAAGGGCAAGCAATTAATTACATTCTCAAAGGGATTGAGGATGGTGGGTGGTGAGAGGAAGAGCAGTTATTGGTGACTGCAGAAGCAGTGTGAGGCTTCTGAGCAGAGCTGTAGTGTCGGAGGCCAGCTCTGGAGGGTGAGAGGTTTATGGGCAGGGCACCCCGGGAAGCTCGTCACAGCTGAGGTGAGAGGACAGGGTGTTGAGAGAACTATTGCAGAAGGTGTGGTAGAACCTCAGGTTCGGGGGCTTGAAGCAGGGAAACAGGCTGGGAGAGATTGGTTGAGGAAAACCGTATTAGACTGGGAACATCATTCCTCCCTCCCCCCCTCCCCCAGAAATTGAAATATACTAAAGGCTTAACTCTGTCCTTATTATCGAAAAATTGGAAATCATCTTTTCCCAAAATTATACAGATTCCCATGATTGATATTTTAGCAAGTATTATTTTGATGTCTTTATAGATTTGCCTGTGTATACTGCCAATGCTTTTTGCTTTTAAGTCTTTTTTCACTCTGTAAACCAAGAAAAAAAATTTAATGTCACTTTATAATCTAGAAAATGGCTGCATAGAATGCTATCTTAAAGCAGTTATAATTTTTATACAGCCAGTTTCCTATTGTTAGCAATTGTTCCTTTTAAAAGAAAGTTGCCCTTTTCTGCTGTAGTATTGACTATAGTTAAATGGCTGCCATCATTTATGTTAATTTCATCTGGATAAATTAATTAAAGAGGAGTTACTGAGGCAAATAGTATGCTTTCTTTTAAAACTTGATACATATTGCCAAGCTGTGCTATGGAAACACTGCACTTTTTCTATTTCTTTCGTCCTATTTTACCCTTTGTAGTTTCAGAGGAGAAAATTGGTATTTCATTGTTCTATTACTATATAAGTATTTTCTGTAGAAATTCAAATTTTTGTGTGTTTTTTCATTAGTGTGTACATATGTGCGTGTGTGTTACTGTTTGTGTGTGCTGCTTTGGAGGAGTTGGCTGTGATTAACCTGAGAGCTGCACTGAGCGCTGATGACTGAGAATGGGAAGAGAAACCAGAGGAAGGAGGAATGTTCTAGAAACAGTTTTCACTTTTAATTAAAGGCGTGGGACAATTTTTGTGCTTCTTAGTAATTGTATTTGATATTGAATGGACTTTGTTTTTCACATAGCTCAGAGCTTGGGTTTACATTTTGTTAATCATTGTCTGGGCCACATTTCATAATGTGCCTGTGTGTGTCTTTAATTATTGTTTGCTTAAAATGCCCAAATCAGAGCTGGTGGAAAGCCATGAGCTATTCTCACCATGCCTTAAAAGATGAAAGCAGGCAAATAGAAATCATGTGTACATGAAATGGGTAATAACCTGCAATAAGCTCAATAGATGGTTTTGTAATGCAGTTGCATCTTTCTCTGAATCCTTCCTGTTTTCTAATATGTCTACTCTATGAGCCACCAAACCGCATTTTGTTCTTTTATTCTTTTCTAAGACTCTCGCCCCTGTCTTCTTTGTCTCACAGGAACAAGCTGATACAGAGACAAGTACAACTCAATCAGAAACTGTTCAGACGGCGGCTTCTCTGTTGGCTTCTCAGGTACTAAGTGCAGAAAGCAAGGAGAGCTTTATAAATGTCGTGGAGATTAGAGTGGTATAATGAGTTAAAATGAGCGTGTACGGAAGACTGATAAAGTATCTTTGTGACAGTTATTCTTTGTATTTATTGTAGTTGAGCCCAGGATTTGGTGGGACCTTTTTTTTTTGTTTGTTTTTTGGTGTGGTGTTCCCCTTACAGACGTGAGAGTGCAAATCACTTAGCTCCTCGTCAGTCAGGATGCATGTTCTATAGCGGCTTTATGTAGGGGTCAAAGCGAACTTTAAATTATGACAACTAAAATCCATTCTTTGTGGATTTCATTTTTACGAGGTTAATAGGATCTTTTATTTTTAAAATGTGTTTATGCCTCACTGTTATTTCTGATTTTTAAGTTATTAATTTAATGTACCCCATAGTTCTTTAAAATAATTTTTGCATTTGACATAGACATTCTATATTGTGACAACCCTCCTCCTCCTCTCCCTAACCCCTATTGATTTGTGAACTTCCATTTTGTTGGCGAAATGTTTTCTTGAATTCCCGAAATGGAATATATTTCTAAGTGTAGGTCAAACTCTGACAAAGTACATCTTTTCTGTAGCTAGAGAGTTACCCTACAAGAGAACTGAGATGGATGATGGCTACAGTTGCTGAACGATCCAGCAGCGATGTTTGCTGCTTTGTGGTTCAGAGTTATTTTTAACGTGACAGCTCTAAAATGTGGTTTTGCTGGCTGTACCAGACTTCGTGATCCCCAAAGACCACCAGGAAGCCGAGTCCTATGCAATAAACAAAAGAGCCTGTTCCATGCTAGCATAGGCTCCTCCCACTCACGCCGACAGCATGGCGGAAGAGAGCGAATTTCACCCAGTCCAGGGGTTTTACTCCGGTCGGTGGTGATGACACTGCCTCGGCTAACCCTGATTGGTTGGGTGAGAGCTAGCTCATCCTCGCCCCGCCCTGCCCTTTCATTTAGTCTACATATTATTGTATGTTTGCTCTTCTGGAATGTCTTTTATTTCAGAACCTTCATCTGGTAAGAGGTATTGGGTAACTAAAACCGCGTTAGTAAGTGTTGGGCTTGATGTTGAACATGGACAAACCTGTTCACCCACCTGAAACTGTCCTGTGATGGGCCGGCCGCCTTTCCATGTCCATTCTCCTCGTTCTAGTCCATTCTCCAACGCTCCTAGTTCTGTCCCAATGTGACCAGTTCCCGGGGGCTTCTGCTGATTAGCTATTTTTATGAGGAAGTAGGATTTTCTTCCTAGTGAAAAAATTCCTAGAGCATATAACCACCCAGTTACAGGAGGGATTGTGTGAGGGATTATGCATCTCTATATTTGGTGATATACAGGGACTATTAGGGGTGGGGGCGATTAAAATGTGGGACCTATGTTTAACAAAAAATCCTTATCATTTGAAGGTAAACTTGAAATATTTACAGATGGAAGGATGGGCTCTCTGGGATTTGCTCCAGCACAAAGGAGCTGAAGTGGGAGGGCAGTGCACTCATTGGCTTTCATTGGCCAGTGGGTGAGGCTGTGGAATGAACGTATGGGAATTCATCATACAGTTCTTTCACTTCCGTGTATTTTTGGAATTTTCTATAATAAAACATTTTAAAAGTTCATCTCTATGTTTTTGAATGTTAAAGGCGGCTTGTGATTTATTTTTAATATGAAACTTCCCTGAAGTTTAAAATAATAAAATTATTACTCAGTTGTATGGATAATTTACGGGGTCAAAAAATCTTGTTTCCTGACAAGTGCTGCTCCTGTGTCTAAGGTGAACCTGAAGCATTCCGCCACAGGGGGGAGCTGCAGTACCACCAGCACCACAGCCATAGCTAGTGTGCCTGCCCTGGCGATTGCATGCTAGGCGATCTTAAAGTAGAGTGTTTATAAAAGCTGTGTTTGACATTACTTACATTTTCTGTACATTGCTAAAATGTTCCTACAAGCGTAAAAGATACAATTTCATAGTAATTCATATTTATATTTCGTTTTGAAATTTTTCTTTAAATTTTTAATAGTTCTTATGCTAAGATCCCCCCATTTCTTAGGAATAAAGCACTGGGAAAGTAAATCTCTGTTAAAGTTACAGCGTTGTGTTCTTTGCTTTGTCCTCAGAAAACATCCAGTACAGACCTTTCTGATATCCCTGCTCTCCCTGCAAATCCTATTCCTGTTATCAAGAATTCAATAAAACTGAGATTGAATCGGTAAAAACAACCTCAGGGGTCCATAAACAATATCTGCCAACTCAACCTGTTGTCTTCAAATGCTAAGAAAGGAGACTGGAGGGTACAAGACTAGACATGGCTGAACATGGATATAGGTTTGTGTGACCTCCCTTACTGGGCTAATCAGCACTTGATCGGAAGTCCAGGTTAGTATGTGAAGCCAGGAGTACTATTATTACTGTGTTAGCAACAGTTGCATTAATATTTTAAAAAATTACTGCCTTTAAAAAAAAAAAGCAAAAAAAAAAAAAAAAAAAAAAGTACAACAGCCCTCAAGCTATATTTGTATCCTTAATTGACCATCTGGATTGGGTTTATGTTTGATGCATTGTTTGGAAAATTTGCGATACAAACTAGCATAAGAACTCCTTATTCTGATGATGCACTTTTATGTATTTTCGCTTTAGAAAGTAGTACTAATTTTAGGTTTCAGCCTGATGGATTTCATTTTTTCTTGAAGAATTTCCTTTCCTGTCAATCTTCAAATCGGATCCCGTTCTGCAGCGGGGCCGCTGTACTTAAGAGCAAGGCTAAGAGCGGGTCTAGGTCAGTCCCTGTGAGGCAGCTGTAACCCTTCGGAAGGACATGTCACTTCTAAGATTGGGGTTTGACATTGAAAGAATAATTAGGAAACACTTGGTTTGATGGGGGTGGTGATTAAGAAATGATATATTCGTTTTATTTATAGAATTGTTCAGAGTGCAGATAAATCAGCGATCAGCGAGAGATCTTTTTCTTTGAGCTTATTAAAGCTCGGTCTTCTTTTGCTTTTAGTCTGTGGTCTTCGAAACAGACAAAAGCATTTTGCTCCCTCCCCCTTGTTTTTCTTTTTCCCTTTCTGCTTGTATGCATAATGTTGGATTTTTTCCACACAAAACAAAATGCCAGTATTTTCTTAAGCAGTGGTGTGGAGCCAGTGACCCCATGCCAGGGCCCAGGACACTGAATTGTGGTCCCATGGCCGGACCTCCAGGAGGACTAACGGAATGCCTGTGAACATGGGGTCCGCCTTGGACAGCACTCGATCCTACAAAGGAGGGATGTTGTACACTCCACAGAACTCTGGTCTGGAGCCAAGCTGGTTTTCCGTTTCAAACATGTGGGCAAAAAGGCGTTTTCTCCAAGAATTTAAAACTAATTTTTATTTTTAAATGGTTGACCAACTTTGTCAGTAAATTTTACATCTAGAAATATTTAAAAATCATTTCTAGCACTCACTTGACATCTAGTCAGCTCTCTGCCTTTTTCATTTTGTTTCACCCTGTCAGTAGATTAGGAACTCTAAAGAAGATAATTCCTCCTAATTAAGCAGCGGAACAGCCATCTTCACGACTGTGAGGGATGCTAGGTGTTGATAAACTTCTTCTTTCTTAATCTGGACGAAGCAAACCTAACCGATCTTTCCGATGAGCATGTTTTCTGAATCCTCCATTGTGCTTCGTTCTGTCACACGCATTTCCTTGTTAAACTGCAATCACTTAAACTCTCCCCTGTCCTTCTAAATTAATTTCCAAAGTTGGAGTGTAGTCTTCCCTTAGGCTCTGCATTAATTGAGGCTTTCTGTTCACCATACTTAGAACATCTGTTATAGCATCTCCTCCCGCATCTTCACGGCACAGCCACCGGCCCTGTCCCCGCCACTGGGAGTGACAAGGTAGCTGTGTGTTTTGTGTAGCTTCCGAGTTAGATTGAGGTTCAGGCACAGATTTAGTCTTGTCATTTGTTTACACATCGGGGGAAAATTCAGTTTATTCAATGTTTCCTGTGACTGCACCCAAGTTTTGCCAAGCTGGGAGCTTGGGCCTTTTCTGTGTAGTGACTTTTTAATTCTAGTTTCATAACCTGGAGATCGGACTGTTGCTTTCGCATGATGTACGTAGTGTCTCATGACTGGAGTTTGCTTTGTTTTATAGTATCTGTACTCCTTGTATTTTTCAAGAGCTATTTTGTAAACAGATGATGTATTTCTCCATTGAAAACACAATAAAAAAACAACAGCACAATCCTACAGTCGGCTGGTTTCTTTTGACTTTGAATTCTTTTGTCTTTTCAATGAAATAATTGGTCCTACTTAAAGTTTATATAGTAGAGCTCTAAGGGAAGATCTGCAAAAGAACTTATTGTGGTTACATGCAGAAAAGATATTTCTGGTTAATTCATGCCAATAGCAGCCTGATATGAATAGATAGCTCACACCGGCAGGGAGGAAACCGTGAGTGTAGTTGCTATCATCCCCTTGCAGCTGTCCCACCTCTCAGGCATCTCCAGGAATGTAGTCACTGCCCTTTTCTGTGTCGTCCATGCGTGTAGGCCGAGTGCCCTCCCTGGCCGCTTCCTCAGAGCTGCTGGTCTTCAAGCTGTGTTGCTGTGTGTCTCAGGCCAGCAGGTGGCACTGTTGTGTCAGTGAATGGGATCAGCCCACAGCCAGCCAGGATCCTGTGTTCCTCATTTTGTAAGCCCGAAGCCGATGCTGCTCTCCCTAAACCCTACGTGCTCAGCGTGCACATTTCACTCTGGTTCGGAGTGAACTGTCTGTGTGTCTGTGATGACCAGCCTTGAGTGTGGTCATCTTCAGTGCTTGGAGTGGAGGGAGCGTCCTCAGGCAAAAGCCGTTATTCCGAGGGCCATGCAGCTGTGCACATGTCTTCCCTCCCGAAATCCCAGTGCCTTCCCTGTGTATGAAGACATGACCGCAGTGCGGGGTAACTGTTCATTAAACTTGCGAGGCTGCTCAGGAAAGGAGAAAGCCCTTAACAATCACCCGTGACTCCATGGGCCACACTCACAGGCCTGCGCTTCCTCCGCTGGGACACCTGCCTGGACTGAGCGCCACCCGCACGGCCTGTGGGCACTCTGTCCTCCTGCTAAGTTAATAAAATGGTCGTCGAAAGTGCTAGGTCTATTCTAGAGTAAAGTTTGCACCTGTCTGACGGAACACCTTCTTTCTCTCCACACACAGAAATGTAGCGTGCGTTCTGGCAGCACTCCAGGTGGCAATAAACGGCCAGCAGTCCCAGCAGTGAGAGGACAAACCACTCAGACTCAGACCAAGCCCCGGCAATAGTAACTTGGTGCACTTCAGTCCCTCTAAACTAGGGGTGTCGAACTCAATCAGAGAAGGGGCCAAAATCTAAAATCCAGCCTAAATCGCGGGCCGAATGGTTTACTGAACAGTCATAAACTGTCATTGTGATGGAAACGCAGCGGAGTGCAGTGATGACAGCGCGGTGCGGGCCACATTGCAAGGCCTGGCGTGACGGATTTGGCCCGCGGGCCTTGTGTTTGACACGTGCTCTAAACAAAGAGACAAAGCCGGCAGGTCCTCGGGCCGCAGGTGGCTATTTGAATCCTGCTGAAAGGGTGGCACGAGGAAAACAAGCTGCCTTCCACCCTGCATTGTGTACTTTGTTTTAATTCTCCACTCTTTTCCTCTGCCACTAAATTTTCCTCAGGCCTAAATCACAGGTGGGTGCTGGGGTAGCTCTGGTCCTGACCTTCCCTCTGGAGGACGGGGGTCTGTTTGCTTGTGTGTGGCACGTACTTGTGGAATCTTGCTGTACTTCCGGTTTAAAAACCATCCTATTGGCACCTGTATTTATGAGCCACGGGTCTCAGAAGTGGTTTCATGCACCAGGGAAGCTATTTCAGCATCTGCTCATATTCCTCAGACGTGCTTCTGTCTCAAGTTTTATGGCAATATTCCTGGGGGCCTTTCCAACCATGGGTGTGTTTTGCTGAAAAAGATGGAATGTCGAGAACATTTCTTCCTTTCCTTGTCCACGCCCAGTTCACAGGTCTCTCCCTTCAGGGGCAGGATTAAGGCTCTTATCAAGTTCACGTTTCAGAAAAGCTCACATTTTGTGCAAGGAAGGGGCTATAATGTGTTTTTTTTCTTCAGTTATCTTTCTAAATGTTTCACATTTGCAGATAGCTAATGATTGTGTTGATTTAGAGCACAGGGCAGCACAGCATTGTTTTAGAGTTTATGGAGTTTAACCTGTGATTTTCCTAAAATACAGGACAGCACCCTGAACAGCAGTCCCATCTTGCCACCAGCTTAGCGTTTTGTTCAGGTTTTTAGCGGTGAGAGTGGATTTATGCTGAAGCCTCCCGGGTCCTCTTCCCGCCCTGCGCTGGCGGGAGCCCCAGGCCCTTGTTCTGTGAGACGGGGGAGTAGGCAGCCAGGTCGGCCTGGGCGGCAGAGCGGACTCCCCGGCGGGAACTGGCCCCTTGGCCCCGGTAACAGTCCCTCTCGCCCCGCCCTCGGCCTTCCCCGCGCGGCCACGCGGGTGCGCCTGGAGCGTGGCCGTCAGCCCGGGCCAGTCTTCACAGCCCGTGGGACGTGTTCCCTGTGGGTCTTAACGTTTCAAACAGTTGCATCCGTGGGTTGAAATGCAATCAATCACAGGTTAGAGGGAGGAACCGTTGGCCGTGAGTCCTGACTGGTGGGTTCGTCCTGGTCACACGCCACCTCTTCACGCCGCAGCTCAACATGCAGGACCGTTCTAGGCTTTTATTCAGTGTGTTAACCTCCTACAAGACTGTGCAGCCTGCTTTTTAAAAACCTAGGTCTTTTAATATGTTGAACCTTTTAGAAGCATTTTCTTAATTAATTGGTAAGATGCTATTTTTGATCCAACATTTCAATCTGAAAAGAGGCATTTTGGATAACTGGAAATTTTGGCCGAAGCCAGTTCGGCTCAGTGGATAGAGCGTCGGCCTGCAGACGGAAGGGTCCCAGGTTTGATTCCAGTCAGGGGCATGTACAGTGGTTGTGGGCACATCCCCGGTGCAGCTGACCAATGATTCTCATCGATGTTTCTAACTCTCTATTTCTCTCCCTTCCTCTCTGTAAAAAAAATCAATAAGATACATTTTTTAAAAAAGAATAACTGGAAATTTTGATTTCATGGGTTTCTTATGGCTCATTCCAGACATTTATCTCAGTCTTATACATTTTCTCATAATGTCGTTTCGTCCTAAAACCATTAAGTTTATTTTTGGTGTAATAAAATGCTTGCTCCAAGAGGACTTACATAAATGCAGCCTGACCAAGTGGTTTCCAGGGAGCAAGCTGTGCCCCTGCTCACCCCCACGCACACGCACACGCACGAGTGAGGAGTGGGTTCTCCCCAACCTCGGACCTGACGCAGGGGCTGCATTTTACAATAACGACACGAAACGTCCCAGCTCTGCTCGCTGCCGGAGGATGCTGTCTCTTGGCATCACACCCTTCTCACCAGCTCTCGCCGCGTGGCGCCTGGAG